AAGTCATGATATGAGGCAGATTTATCTTTATATTGTGTATCCTTAATTTCACGTTCGATGGGATAGATTTGTTCAACATAGTCACCAAACTTTGAATTATTCAGTGAGATGACCTCATCTAGATAGCAAAAAGTGAACTCATAGATTAATGCTAGCTTCTTTTCATTCTTCCGTAGAAGCTCCGTATGGAGTCTGTCTCATGTGAATAACGGAACAATTCGGCAGGAAGAAGAGCCCAGTTGCTTTCCATGGGATTCGGTCGATAGTTTGTGGGAAAAAAACGTCCTCCAAACGTGATATAAATTGTATCAGAGTTTTTTGTTTGTTTACAAAGTACGATTTATTCAACCCTAAACAAAGACTTTTGAAGCTACGTTGGCCATTTATTTTTCATGAAACGAAGCAGAATCCATTAAAAGCTTCAATAATAATTGTATGTACTGTAACACATTATAATTTTATTCAACAAATAATGCTTGTTACAATTACTATCAAGATTCAAAACTTCTCTTGACGTACCCTTTTCATTCGAATAATCTCTTACAACACTCAATTTATACTGTTTTAAATAGCTACATATCTTATACCAGAAGATCCAAATACCTCAGACAACAATCATAGAATGAATCAAATAGCCATATACTTCATACCTCAAGGTCGAATTGTCTCAAAACTTATAGACCATACTAAAAAACAACATACCTTATACAATTAGGTCAAATAACCACATGCAACACTTATAGAAGAGGGACGAAAGATACCAGAGGTGACAGTCAAACTCATAGATCGAAAACAAACTGACAACGCCATGGCCAAAAATAAAGAGACAAACAGACAAATAATAGTACAGATGACACAACATAGAAAACCAAAGACTAAGCAACACGAACCCCACCAAAAACTGGGGGTGATCTCAGGTGCTCCGGAAGGGTAAGCAGATCCTGCTCCACATGTGGCACCCGTCGTGTTGCTTATGTTATTACAAATCCGGTAAATAGTCTAATTCGGTAAGTCACATTCGTGAAAAGGGAGGGTATTGTAGTTACGACATAAGGAACATATCCGATATCATCTGTGAAACGATTATTCCATAACGGTCAACCAACTCGTGATGGCGTCCGTAAAATTTACGAAGGGATGACTTCAACTTCACCATTTGGAACTCTTGGTTTAATAGCTTCCTTGTGAGCAGCAATCCTCTATCAAGGAAATCATGATAGGAAACACAAGCCCGGGAATATCGTATCAATTGGGAGATATATACTCCGTATGCAGTCGCTGCTGCAATGTTGCTACATAGAAATGGAAAGTTCACAATTGGGAAGCTGAAATCATCTCTTTTGTCGTAAAGTTTTGTTTTCAACCGACCCTCATTGTCAATTTCTAGATGTAAGTCAAGATATGAGGCAGACTTAATTGTATCTGTAGTATCCTTTATCTCTAGTTCGATGGGATAGATTCGTTCAACATAGTCACCAAATTTTGTATTATTTAGTGAGAGAACATCATCTATATAGCGGAATGTAGAGTTAAAGGATATTGCTAACTTCTTATCTTTCTTCCTAAGAAGTTCCTGTATGAAGTCAGCCTCATAATAATAAAGAAACAAGTCGGCAAGAAGAGGGGCACAATTGGTTCCCATTGGAATTCCGACAGTCTGTTGAAAAACACGTCCTCCAAACGTAACAAATATGTTGTCAATCAAGAAATCAAGCATCTTGATAATGTCAGTTTCACAGAATTTTTTGTTTGAATCAGAGTGATTCTTTACAAAGTCTTTATAGACTGTACCAAATAACCATTAACCTTACACCATAAGGTCCAATTACTAGTACATCATACAACACTTACAGAATTATCAAATGACCGTATACTTTGTATCATAAGGTCCAATTACATCATACAAAACGGTACACACTTTTTTCATATTATATAATTACCATGTAAATCTTTGAATGATGGTTTTTTTTTGGTGTTAATATTGATTTTGTTATCAGTAAGTTAAAAACAAACTCAATGATATTATTGTTATATATATACACACTTTCATTGATCTACAATCTATCGACTCTCGTATCTTGGCATTGCACAAGGTCATGTTTTTCTCTGACTGTTTATAATGTCTTTACACTAAATCCATTGGATGGTGGATGTGTACTGATTAATAATTTAGTCTTGGATGATTTTTTTTTATATAAGTTGATATTGGCTTTGAACTAGCTGCCGGTAACTTCAATCGAGTACTCTCAGATCTGTACTTAGTGTCTTTATGTTGTTGGGATGTACAATACCCGGTCACGTCCACGTTGTTTTGTTATATTTATTTCTATGTGTATCATCTGATGAGTTAAACCATTTTCAACTGATTTTTATAGTTCGGTCTTATGTTGTACTGTTACACCACAGTTCCAGGTTAGGAGAGGGTTGGATTCCCGCTAACATGTTCAACCCCCGCCACATTATGTATATATGTGCTCACTGCTGGTCCCAAGTCAGGTGCCTGTAATTCAGTGGTTGTCGCTTTTTGTTGTGTTACATATTTGTTTTTCTTTCATTTTTTTTTTTTTTTGTACATTATGCCGTTAGTTTTTTGAATTGTATTACATTAGTGATTTCGGGGCCTTTTATAGCTGACTATCCAGTTTCAGGCTTTGTTCATTGTTGAATGCCGTACGATGACCTATAGCTATTGATTTCTGTGTCATTTGGTCTCTTGTGGAGAATTGTCTCATTGGCAATCATATATCATCTTCTTTTTATATATATATTCCTTTTTTTTAACTGAACTAGTATACATTATTTTAGGAGCAAACTGAAGCCCGCCTCCAGATGTTGGATTTTCTCTATTCGTTAAAGACACATCGGTTGTCTTTTTGACACATTCCCTGTTTCTATATAACCCTATTCTAGATTTACCTATCAACCATAGACAACATATACAGACTATCTAAAACCTACAGACAGCATATACTGGCTCTGTCTAACAAGCACAGACAAAATATACACACTGTATCTAGCAATCGCAGTCAATATACACAGAATGCATCTAACAACCACAGACAATATACACAGACTGTATCTAAAACCCACAAACAGCATATACTGACTGTGTCTAACAAACACAGACAACATATACACACTGTATCTAGCAACCACAGACAATATCCAAAGACTATCAAAGAACCACAGACAATATACACAGAATGCATCTAACAACCACAGACAATTTAAACAGGCTGCATTTGACAACCACAAACAACATATACATACTGTATCTAGCAATCACAGACAATATACACTGACTGTAATTAAGGACCACAGACAACATATATAGACTGTATCTGATAACCACAGACAACATATACACCCTTTTCTAGCAACCATATACAACATATACACACTATATCTAGCAACCACAGACAACATATACACACTGTATCTATCAACCACAGACAACATATACACACTGTATGTAGCAACCACAGACAAACATATACACACTGTATCTAGCAACCACAAACAACATATACACACTGTATCGAGCAACCACAAACAACATATATACACACTGTATCTAGCAACCACAGACAACATATACACACTGCATCTAAGAACCACAGACAACATATACACACTGTATCTAGCAACCACAGACAACATATACCCACTGTATCCAGCAACCACAAACAACATATACACACTGTATCTAGCAACCACAGACAACATATACACACTGTATCTAGCAACCACAGACAACATATACCCACTGTATCTAGCAACCACAGACAATATACACAGACAACATATTCACACTGTATCTAAGAACCACAGACAACATATACACACTGTATCTTAGAACCACAGACAACATTAACAGACTGCATCTAACAACCATAGACAACATATACACACTGTATCTAACAACCACAGATAACATATACACACTGTATCTAACAACCACAGACAATAAATGCAGACAGTATCTTATAACTGCACTATTGGTGTGTCTTTCCCAAGTAAGGGCACTGAAGTTCAGTGGTTGTTGTTGGTTCATGTCTGTCATATTTGTAAATTGATTTGCTATAAGTTAAGACATTAGTTTTCTCAATTGAATTGTTTGTCGATGCCTTTTAATGCTGACTATATGGTATGGGTTATTTTTCTCATTGTAGAATTCTGTATGGTTGTCAATAACTGCTAACATCATTTGAACTTTGGTGGATAGTTGTCTCATTGGCAAACATACCATATATCCTTATTCATATACAGACAATTTATATAGTCTGTATCGAACAACTGCAGACAATTTATATAAACTTTCTTGAAGAACCACAGACAATATATATAGACTGTATATAATAACCACAGCTAACAAATTTTTCAGGTTTATATTATTTTCTCTAATTCTTCGTCAATTTATCCCTTTCTGCACCCATTGTATAAAAAAATGTAATCAACGTGTGGTTCGTTTGATCTCAGTTCTTCATTGGTTAAAATCCGATTATGACGTCGAATTTTCTTGCTTTCTTCTGAATTTCCTATTGTGACGGCATGAAAAAAGGCTACCATGCCTGATGACGTCAGATAGAAGGAACACATCTTTTTGCAGATCATTCGAAAAGAAGGAATAAGTTTGCCTGCATATTTTTAGAAAATCATTAGAGAAACAGATTCCACCACCAAATCTCGTGTAATACGATATTTATCCACTCTCGACAGTTAAATTTTAAATATTTAAAACGCTCGGCGAGCCTCTCGTTTTAAATTTGAAAATTTAACTGTCTCGAGTGGATTAATATCGTATCACACTCGATGCAGTGGTAGAATCTATATTTATTAGTTGTTTATAAATATGTGTATACTCTGTAAACAACAGAATTGTAACACAAATGTGTTTAAAACCTTTTTTTCTGTTATTACCTGTATTATCTAAAACTAATGTGTTTGTAAATATGCCTTTACGTCAAATAATGTTTTTAATATAACAAGTGATGGCCTCATTAAGTATTAAGCTTATATAATCAAAAACTAAAATAGTCCTTTTGCTAATGTCACATATATTCTGATAATTTACAAAATGTAATGGATAATATGTCCTTCACACCTTAGTTCTAGTATTGGTAAGCATTTCTGAGCAAGTTGTTTCAATTAATGATAATGATTTTTACTCATTATTGAAATATAAGCATAAATATTTACAAACAATCGATGGTATTGACTTTATTGTTATACTCAATTATGCTTCGATAAAGATGTAGGTATCATATTCCAAAAGTAGTATACATGTATACTATTTGTTTAGTTAGTTTTCATATTATCTAAGCAGAATTTCTACCTACCATCTCTTTTATCCAATGGAATTTTAAAAAAAGCTTCAAGAAAATTTTCATGGATAATTTAAATATTACAAAAATATTTTTAAAATAGGTATTTTTTTCATGTCATTATTATATACTAGACAACTTATAAATAGTTCCTATAATTAAAGACATCAAAAGTTTATAATTTTTCATATACATTTATGTGCAGTGCCTATGAAAAATTTCAATAGTTCATGTATTACAGAATGTTAAAATCTTTTTTTGTTGTTTTGTTCAGTTATTCTGCTCAACCATCTGTGTGCTAACTCCTTGAGGTTTTATGTGAACTTTGACATAGTAGATGTTGAACAACCTGAAATATTAAATTCTTATGTTAGAATGTGTAAGCTCTCATTAATTCTTTTAGAACTTAAACTATAAATTTTCAAAGAAGTCAGACAGAACACATTGCATTTTGAGAAGAAAGTATAGAATTTGGTGCATGAAAGACCTGAAAAGAGCAAACTCTCTACAACTCATTGATGTATAGCAGTTGACCACATTCTGTCAAATAGTTTCTGACGAAAATATCTTCTTTTTTCATGCATGATCTTGCAGAATTCATAGAATTGGCAAGCAAGAGGTTTTGTGAGTTGATACATGTCTTTTCATCTTTGTTATTCATGTAAATTAATCATTGAGTGATAGATTTCTCTTAGAAGATATTTAAAGGTCCAAGTGAATAAACTATAAAGAGACTTATAACTATTGTAATTATTCAATTGGTAATAAAACAGATAAATGTTTAAATACCTTGACCAAAAGAAGATGACCCAATGTAAAAAATCCATTAGGTTTGCAAGAAGATCAATATTACACTCTTGCATAGAATAACATTCTTGTATAAATAACCAAGGGTTTCCTTGCCACATATTTTATAATGTATATATTTTCTTGTCTTAGAAATATATAAAAGAGTAGATTAAGAAATGTCTTTTCTGACAATTGCAACAAGCTGAAAGTGTTTCAAATTGATGAATACATGTGTAAGAAGGTATTAAAACAGGACACTTTTTGTTTATCTTTTAATACAGAAAATTGCCCAAGACACTTCAATTATGTAAAATGGTGGTTGTTGTAAAAGTGGACAAATGGTCAGGATTTCAACCAATATTATAAGCCTAGGAAACATAAATAGCAGGGCCTTGCAGACTTAATTTTCAAGCTAAATATTTCATTTGTCACAACAAACATGATCAGAAAAATCTTTTTTGCTGATAAATTGGCTCCAGTTGTTTTTGTGGTTTAATTGTCATGTTTGTATCTGATGAGTTAGGCCATTTATCAGCTGAACATTTTTATTTGTTCTTTAATGGGTTTGCTCATTGTTGAAGGCTGTACAATGACCTTAAGTTCCTTACCTTTATGTCAATTAGTCTCTGGTAGCAATCATACCACATCTTTTTTTAATTTTTATACCTATGTTTCCAGTCCAAAAACCTATGGATTAATTCATAGAGAAAAAGGGAATTTTTAATTTTAAATGATGGGGTTCAAAATTAATGCATGGGGCACTTACCAAATCTAAAAATAAAACAATATTGATATTGTCTATATACATACCAGTATCTAATACATCTGGTGTGACATTACAGAGTGTGCCCAAAACCTTTACAATGTGATTTGTTAACTAAGAATGAATGCACCAAGTCTCCTGGAACTCTGTAGACAGAAAAATAATTGAATTCAATATAACAATTATTACAGGTAATGTATAAGCTAAATGTATTGTCTATGGTTGTTACATTTTGATTTATATATTGTCTATGGTTCTAAGATACAGGCTATATGTATTGTCTATGGTGCTTAGAAATGGTCCATATGTATTGTCTATGGTTCTTAGATATGGTTCTTAAGTTCAGTCTATATGCATTGTCTATGGTTCTAAGATACAGGCTATATGCATTGTCTATGGTTCTAAGGTACAGGCTATATGTATTGTCTATGGTTCTTAGGTTCAGTCTATATGTATTGTCTATGGTTCTTATAAAATGGTCCATATGCATTGCCTATGGTTCTTAAATATGGTTCTTAGGTTAAGTCTGTATGTATTGTCTATGGTTCTAAGATACATGCTATATGTATTGTCTATGGTTCTTAGGTTCAGTCTATATGTATTGTCTATGGTTCTTAGAAATGGTCCATATGTACTGTCTATGGTTCTTAGATATGGTTCTTAGGTTCAGTCTATATGCATTGTCTATGGTTCTAAGATACAGGCTATATGTATTGTCTATGGTTCTTAGGTTCAGTCTATATGTTTTGTTTATGGTTCTTAGAAATCGTCCATATGTATTGTCTATGGTTCTTAGATATGGTTCTTAGGTTCAGTCTATATGCATTGTCTATGGTTCTAAGATACAGGCTATATGCATTGTCTATGGTTCTTATGTTCAATTTATATGTATTGTATATGGTTCTTAGATATAGGCTATATGTATTGTCTATGGTTTTTAGATATAGGCTATATGTATTGTCTATGGTTCTTAGATAGAGGCTATGTGTATTGCCTATGGTTCTTAGATATAGGCTAAATGTATTGCCTATGGTTTTAAGGTATGGTCTATATGTATTGCCTATGGTTCTAAGTTATAGGCTTTATGCATTGTTTGTGGTTCTAAGTTATAGGCTATATGCATTGTCTATGGTTCCAAGTTATAGGCTATATGTATTGTCAATGGTTCTTAGGTAGAGTCTATGTGCATTGTCTAAGGTTCTCAGATATGGTCCATATGCATTGTCTATGGTTCTTATGTTCGGCCTATATGCATTGTCTATTGTCTATGGTTCTTAGGTTCAGTCTATATGCATTGTCTATGGTTCTTAGATATAGGCTATGTCTATTGCATATGGTTTTAAGGTATAGTCTATATGTATTGTTTATGGTTCGAAGTTATAGGCTATATGCATTGTCTATGGTTCCAAGTTATAGGCTATATGTATTGTCTATGGTTCTTAGGTAGAGTCTATGTGCATTGTCTAAGGTTCTCAGATATGGTCCATATGCATTGTCTATGGTTCTTATGTTCGGTCTATATGCATTGTCTATGGTTCTTAGGTTCAGTCTATATGTATTGTCTATGGTTCTTAGGTTCAGTCTATATGCATTGTCTATGGTTCTTAGGTTCAGTCTATATGCATTGTCTATGGTTCTTATGTTTGGTCTATATGCATTGTCTATGGTTCTTAGGTTCAGTCTATATGCATTGTCTATGGTTCTTATGTTCAATTTATATGTATTGTCAATGGTGCTTAGGTACAGTCTATATGCATTGTCTATAGTTCTTAGATATAGGCTATATGTATTGTCTATGGTTCTTAGGTATAGTCTATATGCATTGTCCATGGTTCTTAGGTTCAGTCTATATGTTTTGTTGATGGTTCTTAGGTACAGTCTATTTGTATTGTCTATGGTTTTTAGGTTTAGTCTACGTGTATTGTCTATTGTTCTTTAGGTATATAGATATAGGAAGATGTGTTCCAATAAAACAACTCGTCCATCCAAGTAACAATTTATAAAAGTAAACCATTATAGGTCAAAGTACGGCCTTCAACACGGAACTATATGTATTGTCTATGGTTCTTAGATATAGGCTATATGTATTGTCTATGGTTCTTATGTTCAGTCAATATATATATATATTGTCCATGGTTCTTAGATATAGGCTATATGTATTGTCTATGGTTCTTAGGTTCAGTCTATATATATATTGTCTATGGTTCTTAGGTTCAGTCTATATATATATTGTCTAAGGTTCTTAGGTTCAGTCTATATGAATTGTCTATGGTTCTTAGATATAGGCTATATGTATTGTCTATGGTTCTTAGGTTCAGTCTATATATATATTGTCTATGGTTCTTAGGTACAGTCTATATGTATTGTCTATGGTTCTTATGTTCAGTCTATATAAAATTGAGAATGGAAATGGGGAATGTGTCAAAGAGACAACAACCTGACCATAGTACAGACAACAGCAGAAGGTCACCAACAGGTCTTCAATGCAGCGATAAATTCCCGCACCCGGAGATGTATTGTTTATGGTTCTCAGATAAAGGCTTCATGTATGGTCTATGGTTCTTAGGTTTAGTTTATATGAATTATCTATGGTTCTTAGAGAAAGGCTATATGTTTTGTCCATATGGTTCCTAGGTTCAGTCTATATGTATAGTATATAGTTGTTAGATAAAGGCGTTATATATTGTCTATAATTCTTAGATATCAGCTTGATATGTTGTCTATGGTCTTTAGGTACAGTCTATATGTATTTTCTATGGTTCTTAGATATAGGCTTCATGTATTTTCTATGGTTCTTATGTTTAGTTTATATGTATCATATATGGTTCTTAGATATAGGGTACATGTATTGTTTATGGTTCTTAGATATATGCTTTATTAACTGTCTATATGGTTTTTCGGTTCAGGTTATAAGTTTTGTCTACTGTAAATTCAGAAATTAATGCGTTCATTTATTATTGCGATATTTGAAGAATGGACAAAAATGCGAGATTAATTATTGCGATTTCAGGAAAATCTGCATACGGATATATGTTTCAGATATCAAAATGCGAGTTCTTATTTTTGCGATACTCATCCAGTCGCAATATTCGCATTAATAAAAACGTCGCAATAATTTTTGAATTCACAGTATATGGTTCTTAGGTACAGTCTATATGACATGCATGTATTGTTGATATGGTTCTTAGGTACAGGCTTTATATATATATATTGTAATTCCAGTGCAGTAATCAAACTACTAACATAATTAACATGATCAAAGTGTAACCACATAATCATAAACATTAGGGGAGTATTCAAACTAATAAAATGATCAGCCGATATAATAACATGATCATGAATTTTTAGGACAGAAATCGAAACTATCGGCATGATTAAACCAGGTTATAAAGGACAATAATCAAACAATCGATTTGAAATGATGATGATGATTAAACCCTGTAATCACATGATCATCAAAGGCGGATTTAGAGGGGGCAGGGAGCTTCATATATGATAAATGTATAGACTTTTAAACATATTGCTCCAAACGTTGGTTTCCCATAGGGCCTCATCCCCTTTTTCAAAATCTTGGAATCATGGGTCATGAATAATAAGGGCAATAATCAAATGATTAACATGATCAAAGTGTGATATTACATTATCTAATCTATCATGAATATCAAGGGTAATAATCAAACCTTAAATTAGATAATTATGAATATTAAGGGCAATAATCAAAAATATGTAATCAGATAATCATGAATAGTATAGGCAATAATCAATAGATTATCATGTTTTACTGTTCAATCATATGATTATGGTTATTAAGGGTAATAATCAAATGATCGTCATGTTCGAAACTGTGTAATCAGATGATCATGAATATAAGGGCAATATTCAAACGATCATCATGTTCAAACTGTGTAATTAGATGATCATGAATATTCAGGGCAATAATCAAACAATCATCATGTTCAAACTATGTAATTAAATAATCATGAATATTAAGGGCAATAATCTAACGATCATCATAGTCAAACTGCGTAATCAGATAATCATGAATATTAATGGTAATAATCAAACAATCATCATGGCCTAACTGTTCAATCATATGATCATGATTATCAGGGGCAAAAATCAATCAATCATCATGGCCGAACTGTTTAATCATATGATCATGATTATCAAGGGCAATAATCAGACGATCATCATGGCCTAACTGTGTAATCATATGGTTATATATATTAAGGGCAACAATCAAACAGTCATCATGGCCTAAATGTTAAATCATATGATCATGATTATCAAGGGCAATAATCAGACGATCATCACGGCCTAACTGTGTAATCATATGATTATGAATATTAATGGCAATAATCAAACAATCATCATGGCCTAACTGTTTAATCATATGATCATGATTATCAAGGGCAATAATCAGACGATCACCACTGCCTAACTGTGTAATCATATGATTATGAATATTAATGGCAATAATCAAACAATCATCATGGCCTAACTGTTTAATCATATGATCATGATTATCAAGGGCAATATTCAGACGATCATCATGGCCTAACTGTGTAATCATATGATTATGAACATAGAGGGCAATATTTAAACGATCTTCATGGTCAATCTGTGGAATAATATGATTATGATGATTATGAATATTAAGAGCAATAATCAAACGATAAACATGATTTGAATGTGTGATCAACTTATCATGAATAATAATTTCTTCTAACTATCAACATAATCACACCGTGTAATCATGAATATCAGGGGAAAACTCTTACTATCAACATGATCACACTACTCACTAGTTATAAGACTTATAGTGATTAACTTATACAGGGAATTTTATAAATCCCAGGTTGGACCAGAGCCTGATATTTTGGCCTAAATGTTTAAAGCAAAGGTATGTTTATTATTTGGTCGTAAAGAGGCAATTTTTGTTTTCGTGTTTACCCTTTTCTGCATCTTTAGGACTCACTTACCCGTCAGTTAACAGCAGTATAAATATAACGTGAAATCGAAACAGAAAGTACACTTCGGAAATTCTCTTTTTCGTAGAATAAATCCGAGTTACATTAAGAACCAATTGTATGATAGATAACAAAAATGAAAAATAAATAAGCCAATCAGAGCGTGGTCCATATCGTGGTTTTTAAATCCTAAAAACCACTACTATTATACCTCTTTTCCCTCCATGACATTCATGTGGTATCCGGTAAAACCCGATATGACTTTAATATTAACTATTTCAACGCATGCGTGCTTGTGTTGTTTTTCAAGAAAGACCATTTCCTGTTGACATTCGCTACAGATTTCTTCATTGTTTAGAGTAAGAAACATGATTTAACAAATGAGGAACAATTCTCACTCATGAAACTACGTAAAGTAGGCATTAAATAGGGCAAATGGTTTCAAATGCTCGATTGAAATAATGTAGAATGCACGTGTATTCAACAGTTCAAGTGACAGTGACGCTGTAACATGAACAAGATTACACATGTATGATCAGATCGGGTCTCACTAAATTAGCGACATAAAAAAAAACAAATTTAGCTTAAACAAATCAAAATGTCAAAGATTTCTAATAAATAAATATATCGAAAGTTCAAACATAGATTTAGTTGGTTTTTTTTTTAAATATATGTTACTTTATGTATGTATTTTCATTTCAAGTCAATTTCTTTTTCTCCACTCTCAATTTTTTTCCCCAACTCACATCAACATGTTTTTGCTTAGAACTTGTTTTCCTTCTTGATAACAAGAAATCAGTTTGCACAATTGTGTCTCTTTAATTATAATTCTACATATCTATTGCATATCCTACATTGAAATAAATGAACACTCAATTAGAACAAACATTTCTTGAACATTGTTTCCACCTGCCCTTGGCGCCCTTACCTCAACAGAAAACTTAATCAAATACATGTCTATCAGCATTTCCAGTAAAATTGTTACATGCTTGTCTAAACAACTAATTAACTGACAATGACATATATAATCATCAGATACATGTACAATAAACCTTTTGCAGTTTTATCACCTCTGTTGGTGATTGGCTTCTGCTAATTAGGTTTTTAAGATAATTGAACAAATATACTAGAACGGAACCAGAAACAGAATGAACCACAGGAACCACAGAATATATTTATGAAGCCAGACATTTTACAAATAAATTAGATATTTACAGATCTACCAGGATTTTTTTAATTCCCAATACATGTACCAGCGGCGATCATATCCTCTCATATAGTCCCGACGCAACTGGAAGTAGTACCTCCTAGAGCGAAGCCAGTTGAATTGGTACAGAATTACCAGTGAGGTGTTGTCCATTTGGGAATTAAATCGAACCTTTTATAATCCACTTTCATCATCTGTTTAAGGTAGCACGGTAGTATTTGCATTCCGGAATTTAGGTTGCTCTTTTGTGTACCCTACTTAAGTCAATGTATCTGAACAGTGTGATTGGACAAAAAATACAGTATCAACTGAACATACTTTCCCAAACTGAGGGATGAATCAGGTGTAGAAAAATATGAAATAATTTTACATACAGATGAAAATGAATTTTTGAGAATTTTTTTAAATTTTGAATTCACTGCATGATAAAAAAGCACTAGTGGCCTTAGGTTTTTAAAGATAGCAAAAAAAGTAAACGGTCATGATACATATTTAAATTCATTTCTGAAAATTATAATGAAAGTACTTCAGTAAACTGCATGTGTACGTAAAATTTTGGGCAGTGCTAGAAAGTGGTGAAAAGTCTAAAAAGGCTATCATTATCCCTTATGGGCCAGGAAATACTAAAGTGCCACCTTAACTGGGATATATATGTTTACAATAAATCAATAGAGGTCCTTTTTTCACCTATTCAATTTGTAAGTTTATCAATAAAAAGTTGATTAGGGGCAACTAGAATAAAAACAGCCCTTAAATTGCACCCCTGGGAGTGAAAATTGCTGATTCAGCAAATTTTGCCTGTTCTGTGGGTAATAATGTAAAAATTTACCTAGAAAGTAGAATTTCATTATTTTTATGTAACTTGCAGTACATTTTTGATAATAAATGTTCGCTTTAACTTTTCGCAGTGACTGACACATGTGCTACAACTGGAATATGAGACACGACATATTTTAGTTTCCTGTACGTCCTATAGTTTTCACTGAAAAATATAAAGTGCATAATTTCTTATTTTTTTCCACACAAGTACAGCTATACTAGTTTTCTTTAGGTTTAATTTGTAGTTCTGTGGTAACATGGCACCAGTGTGAGCTTTTTTGGAACCAGTAAGTGGTTTAGGGGTCCTTACTTATTCATTTAGCTGAAATAGAGATAGTATTAGGGGTTTCTTTGCATTGACAAGACAATTTTTTGGACAAAGAATGTGATTTTGATTGTATATCAGCAAGATTAAATAGTTTATTCATTTTCCATGCAAATATCATGAATTGTTTTGATTTTCTGACCCTGAAAAGCACAATAAAGGTAAATTGATTATTTAAGGGGACATAATTTAACTTAATGCATACATGAGAAATAGACAAACAGTCATCTTAGAGATATATTCTAGTACATATGTAGGACTCTAAAGTGCGACGGGGACGCTAAAGTGCGATGGTCACGCTAAAGTGCGATGGTCTACGCTAAAGTGCGATGCCTCCATAAGCTAAAGTCTGATGGTCCGCGAAAGTATAGACGTAAGAGACGTAGTTTGATTATGACGTTGACAGTCGTTTATACAAACTAAAAATGAACACGCCGGAAGATAAATTACTAACATTTGATTAACAACTGTTAAACCAAATGTCAATGACTTGTTAATAATTAATTTAAACCTAACCGTGCTTTGACGTCTGACGCAAATGTTTTTTTTTTTGGTAGCTGAAAGAAGAACTTGTATCCTGCAGTCGACCATTTTATTTACTATTTAGATACAAAATAGAATTCGCATAAATATCCTGTACTGTGCTTTTATTGGAAGCGAACGGATACATTCAACTCATTGTTTATGCGGCAGTTTACTTTGCGGTCCCCATTAAAATATTGTCGCTTTAAAAAGTAACATCGGTAAATAAAGGTAGATGTTTGCATGCGTAAATTATAAATTGTCGGCTAAAATATAAGTTTGTACATTATAGGAAAATATAAAATGTAGTGCAGAAAGCCTGATTTAGATATTTATCTTTCAAGTTATATTTTGTCTTCATCAACTAACTCACAGACAGATATCAAGATATCCAGATTCTCTACATTAAGAAGCCATATCAGTTTTTGGCTTGGAATCAAATGCCTAAAGTTTGGGCATAGTGAGTTAATAGTGGAATTTAAACAATTTCTCTTATCTTGAGATGATGTACACGAAAATAAAAAATGTTTTTCATCATCAACTTCATTTGAGGTGCACCTGAGACATATTCTGTCTTGTTGGAGAGTACCCTGATAGCGACCTTGTTCAATTCTTAGTCTGTGAGAAGAAATACGCAATCGAGTGAAATTTCTCCTCTGCTCAGGTGATTGTAATATAGTAAGATATCTTTCAAGACTAAAATGAGTCTTAAAAGTGCTGTAGCTACAAAGCTTCCCATCAGCACAATTGTGCATTTGTTTTCTCCACTGTATTTCATAGTCATGATAGTGCTGATAAAAAAACTTTTTAAATAAAATTTTGAATCTAAAGTTGCTTGCAAAGGCTAGACTGTCAACCCCATTAATTTTTTTTTGCAAATAGTTTAAAGATCCATACCAAGAGGGAATTTTTGATTCAAATAATAGCTTTGACTCTAAATATGCATCTTTTAGTAATGGAAAGGATGAACCCAAATTTTCAAGCCGGTGCCAGTATCTGATCATAGATTTGGTGATATCAAAATGTAAAGGAAATCTCCCAAGTTCTGAAAGAGTGGCAAAGTTTGTTGCTCTTTTCCCCACACCTAGTAATAGTTTACAAAATTTCATATGTAATCTTTCAGAAAGAAGTTTAGGATAGGCTTGATCAACTGGAGAAGTCTGAGAATTTAATTTTTTTTTGAAGGGATTAAAAAAGCCCCAAATTTCCGAACTATACAAAAGAATGGGTTTAATTGTATGATCAAATACGTGGAGGCTGTTTTCAATATTTGGATTCAGTGACAAGAAGTCCTTTCGTAGCTTGTAGTATGCTTTTAGTGCCTTATTGTACAATTCCTTCTGAGCAAAGGAAAAAGATCCTAATGCACTAAATGTTATACCTAAATATTTACAATGTTGAACACAATCTATCAACATGTCATTAAAATAAAAATTATGTTTTATATGCCTGCCTGCCTTGTTAAATACCATCACCTTAGTTTTTTTTAGATTAATTTTCATACACCAATCTTTACAATAATTATTTAATTGATCAAGTTTACACTGAAGCCCCTTTTCCGAGGAAGAAAAAATGACAATATCGTCAGCATATAATAAACAATGAACTGGCTTTGAGTTAACCAAGACAGGATCAGGTGACTTTTCAAGATAATCAGGGAGGTCATTTATGAAAATTTTAAACAAATTTGGACTCAAATTATCTCCCTGTTTCACTCCCACCTTAGTTGGGAAAAGGTCTGTAACTCTATTCTTTAATCGAATACACGATTTACTCTGAGCATACATACTCTTAATTATATTATAAAAATTTGTACCCAGCCCGATGTTTAATAACTTGAATTATATGTAGGACTATCAACATAAAATCAATGGTCAGTATAGTAGACGAGACATTTCAGCGTGTGCACTCTTGTTTAAACTTATCTGTAAGCAATTGAGGAACAAAATCACAACTATAAAGGAAAACCTCATTTCAAATTTAATAATCCCCTTTTTGGTTCTGTGTCTGGAGCAATTTTCTGACTTTGCCACCAACTGCAGTGTTCCCACTTGCCCAAAATAAAAATGCTGCTTGCCATTGGTGCCCTACCCCTCCTGTCTGCCAATGAAATAATAAAATTACACCCCAAGTTCTGTCTTTGCAACATTAGACCTTTTTGCTAATAGGAATCTGTGACACTTGAACTATTGATGATGAAGAACAATCACTTTTTCATTATTGCAGCAGACATTTCTATTTTGATGTAAAATTTTACTGCAACGTCTGTGCAAACAAATAGCAATAAGGTGTATACACTTAATCAAATTACATATCTATTGGCATTTCCAGTAAACTGTTACATGATTGTCTTAACCACTAATAAACTGACTATGACATATAATCAGGAACATTAGCCTTTGGCAGTTTTATCACCAGCTCAGTTCATCAGACATTTTCTTCTGAAAATGGAACAATTGAGCAAAACTTTTGTTTTTCTAATCCAAAAAACTGAAGCAAATGTTTTTCAAATATTGTAGGTAAGCTGACTTTTTCAAAATGGCGCTACCAACTACTCCTCGCTACTGGACAACAAGAAAGAATATTTATGAACAAGCTATAGTACGACACAGAGACCATAACGACCAGTTCAGGGAAAGATGGGGTACAGCTGTTAACTATTTTCAGAAATCTGACATGGAAGCTAAAAAGCAATCAAACTGGGGCTCAGAACAAAGCATGAGGTCAAGGTAATTTTTATTTGCTTAAAAAATATACAATTAGAGAATATACAAAATATACTGTAACTTATTGAATCAAGGTCACCATGGTCACTTTAGAAGTTTAAAAGAGACCTTTGATAAACGTATTGCAAACATATTTTATTCATGGCAATGTTCATTGAATTTGACAAGGCTGGTTTGACAGCTGTATCAAAATAAAATTTTCCTAGCAATAGGACTATTGGAGATTGTGAATTGCTATTTTTTGCTGTTGGACATTAAGTTCTGTAAGTTTCATACTTTTGGTTGTTCTAATGAATTTCCTTTGGTCTTTTAAGCAACATTTTCTCAGCTTCATTTGAAGCTGTTTTAATACAATATAGGCATCTTTATTTACCTATACAGAGTATTTAAATAAATATAGAATAACTATAACTAATCCAAGAATTCAAAGGTAAAATAACATGTAAGAACAACACCCATTTATTCACAAATTTGCATAGCACTTGAGCATATTGAATGAATTATCATTGTTGTTTGGCCCCTCATTGAATATTTTAAGACATACAAATTCTTGGATGAGTTATTTTTATACGACCGCAAAAAATTTTTGCGTTCGTATATTGGTATGACGTTGGCGTCGTCGTCCGGCATCGTCGTCGTCCGAAGACACATTGGTTTTCACACAATAACTTTAAGTGAATGGATCTCTATGAAATTTTACCATAAGGTTCAATACCACAAAAGGAAGGTTGGGATTGATTTTGGGGGTTATGGTACCAACAGTTAAGGAATTAGGGGCCAAAAATAAGCATTTTTGTAACTTCCAGACAATAACTTGTGTGTTAGTGTATGGATCTCTCTGACATTGAACCACAAGGTTCCATATCACAAAGGGAATGCTGGGATTGATTTTGGGGGTAATTGCTTCAAAATTTTAGGAATTAGGGGCCAAAAAAGGAGAAAAAAAACAAGCATTTTTCTAGTTTCATGACAATAACTTGTGTGTAAGTGTATGGATCTTTCTGAAATTGTACTACAAGGTTCCATATCACAAAGGGAAAGCTGGAATTGAGTTTGGGGGTAATTGCCCAAAACGTTTAGGAACAAGGGGCCAAAAATAAGCATTTTTCTTGTTTCCAGACAATAACTTGTGTTCAAATGCATGGATCTCTCTGAAATTGTACTGCAAGGTACCATACCACAAAGGGAAGGCTGGGATTGAATTTGGGGGTAATTGCCTCAAAATTTTAGGAATTAGGGCCAAAAAGGGGCATAAAACAAGCATTTTTTCTAATTTCAGGACAATAACTTGTGTGTAAGTGTATGGATCTTTATGAAATTGTACTACAAGGTTACATATCACAAAGGGAAAGCTGGGTTTGAGTTTGGGGGTAATTGCCCTAAACGTTTAGGAATTTGGGGCCAAAAAGGGGCCAAAAAACAAGCATTTTTACAGTTTCCAGACAATAACTTGTGTTCAAGTGTATGGATCTCTCTGAAATTGTACTGCAAGGTACCATACCACAAAGGGAAGGCTGGGATTGAGTTTGGGGGTGATGAATCATAAGGGGGATAAAAAAATTGGGGGGGGGATTTTTTTTTCCTTTAAAATTTTCCATTTTAAGTTGGTTATTTTTTATCTATATATAAAAGCAAATAATAATGATATTGTTTGGTTTCATCAAAAATTGAAATATTGGGGTTCTTTGATATGCTGAATCTAACTGTGTATTTAGATTCTTAATTTTTGGTCCCGTTTTCATATTGGTCTACATTAAGGTCCAAAGGGTCCAAAATTAAACTTAGTTTGATTTTAACAAAAATTGAATTCTTGGGGTTCTTTGATATGCTGAATCTAACATGTATGTAGTTAGATTTTGGATATTGGACCATAATAGGTAAATTAAAAATTTTCAAGTTCTTAGACCACATTCAGTCTGTGTCAGAAACCTATGCTGTGCCAAATATTTAATCACAATCCAAATTCAGAGCTGTATCAAGCTTGAATGTTGTGTCCATACTTGCCCCAACTGTTCAGGGTTCGACCTCTGCGGTCATATCAAGCTGCGCCCAGCGGAGCATTTTATTTTCATAATGATTAATTCTAATGTAAATAGGGTAGAAAATGCGAGGGATTTCTATTCTTTCTCACTCGGATTTGATTTAATATCATCAACAGCTATTGTTGTACATTGTATGATGTTAGAGAAGTGATATTACATGATTTATTTCGCAGTGTATTTCAGTACAACCAGTGTATTAATGACCAGTGTAATAAAAACCAATATCCAGCACCCTAATATTTTATGCTATAATAACAATAATGGTAGAAGTTTTACTGCACCATATGCATGATATATGCAATTGGACAATTTATGTTTCTTCAGTGATGCTTGATGCCAAATGTTTTCAAATCAAAAACCTAACACAAAACCCCTTATAGTTTACACAGGAACAAAATCAAACTTCTTTTACACTATGTAACTTGGCATCTACATTTTATTTTTTTCTCCAGATTGATTTTTAAGGTTTCCCATTGCAAATCATGGTAAATGTATTAACCAACCATTTTGAAGAAATTGGTCAAGCAAACTCTCTGACACAGTTAATATAGGAATGGACTTGAACTCTTGACTTTCTAGTTCATTACTTGTCACCAAATACGACTCATCACTGAACATTACTTGTCACGAATAACACAGCAGCTAAATTGATCCATCCTGTATTTTTGTTATCTGCATCAACAATGGTAAAAGCAGGTCTAGTAACCGCTTGTCTCTATCCATCATTCTGTCATTCCCTCCGTCCATCTGAAAGACTTCGGTAGAAAACATTCATCAAACGAGAAGAAAAAATATACCCATCAAAATCCAAACAAAGATTTTATCTTTCTGAAACACAAAATGCATTAAACTTATATATATCTAGTGGGTTCTAGGCCTTAAAACTTTTCCAACTGCACTGGTTTGTCTACAGGTACTGAGAGTAAATTGTTAGGTATAACTACAGCAATTTTTGCGTATATTGGTATCACATTGTCGTCGGTGTCAGCGTCGTCCGTAGACATTTGGTTTCCGAACAATAACTTTAGTTTAAGTGTATGGATCTCTATGAATTTTTATTGAGCTTTTTGGTAAAAAAAGTACGCTTTTTGTTCAGGAATTAGGGGCCAATAAGGGTCTAAAACAAGCATTTTTCTAGTTTTCAGACAATAACTTGTGTTTAAGTGTATGGATGTCTCTTAATTTGTACCACATTTTACAAAAAGAAAATTTCTTCAAAATAAATTTTTTTGGAAGGGGGGGAAACAAAAATTTTTGGGGAGGGGGGCAATTTTTTTCCTCAAAAGAAAATTCTTTTCAAATATTATTTTTTTTGGAAGGGGTTAAAAAAAATAATTTTGGGAGGGTCAATTTTTTTTCCTCAAGATTTAAGAAATTTTTTTTCAATTGGGGGTCACAATTTATTTTGCTAATTCTTTGTATATAGTCTGAAAACAGATTTACTAAGTATTGCGCAACAGCACAGTGTATTGCACAACAGCAAGAAATCTTCAATTGAATATAAATTCAAATCATACAATTAATTTCAAGTTCTTTGACTACATTTATTCTGTGTCAGAAACCTATTATGTGTCAAATATTTAATTACAATCCAAAATCAGACCTGTATCAAGCTTGAATATTGTGTCCATTTTTGCCCCAACCGTTCAGGGTTGGACCTCTGCTGTCGTATCCAGCTGCGCTCGGCGAAGCAGTTTATTGTCCATTTGTTATGACGAACCTTAAAAACACTCATTGTACATGTATAATTTTGGTCAATTTTTATACGCCTGTTTACGGGACGTATTATGGTATACCATTGTCCGTCCGTTGTCAACATGTCGGACAATAACTCAAAAACACTTTAACCAATTTGCATGAAACTTTCGTGAATTGTATATATCTATTGACAATGATTGACGTGAGTTCCCTTTTTGGTTTTTATAAATTTTAGATTTTACATTTCCGAGTTATTGTGTTTATTCATTAAAAAAGGAGGATTTCCCAGTTTTCAGACAATAACTCAAAAATGCTTTGAGCAGTTTTCATGAAACTTTGGTGAATTGTTTATATCTATTGACGTGAGCTCCTTTTCGATTTTTATAAATTTTAGATGTAACATAGAAGTGTATTACCATAAGACAGTGTGTCATGTATATTATCACTTGTCACCATCTTACGGTGTTTATATATCTCAACTTGTACGATTCGCTCGTGTATGTAACAATGTTTTAGATTTTAACGAGAGAAATTTATGAATTACTGAAAAATTATTACACCAGGGTTTTCGATATCACAAACTAGTCAAAACATTTACTAAATTTTATCATCGGTATAAGGACATCATTCGTAAATATAGCTCAACATGCAGACTTCTTATACGTTCAGGTATTTCACATCCAATTTTTTATGGAAATATTCTTTATAAAGCACAAAAATGTCAGTATTCACCTCTGAAACTAACAAAACCTTTAAATAGACTTATTAAGAAGGGATATAGTTACGATACTGTTGTCAGGTCATTAAAGATTGCATATTTTGGCGTTAATATTGATTCACTTATAGGGTCTTTGCATCGGCACTAAACACATTTATTTAAAAACCAGTTGTTGGCATGACACGGGTTATGTTCTTCTCATATATGTTATGATGGTATGATACTAAACCCCTAACGGGAAGGATTGTGCCTGATATTCATATGATGAAGACATAATCTTTCAATCAGTTTAATTGAAGTCTGGAGCTGGCATGTCAGTTAACTGCTAGTAGTCTGTTGTTATTTATGTATTATTGTCATTTTGTTTATTTTCTTTGGTTACATCTTCTGACATCAGACTCGGACTTCTCTTGAACTGAATTTTAATGTGCGTATTGTTATGCGTTTACTTTTCTACATTGGCTAGAGGTATAGGGGGAGGGTTGAGATCTCATAAACATGTTAAACCCCGCCGCATTTTTGCGCCTGTCCCAAGTCAGGAGCCTCTAGCCTTTGTTAGTCTTGTATTATTTTTAATTTTAGTTTCTTGTGTACAATTTGGAGTTTAGTATGGCGTTCATTATCACTGAACTAGTATATATATTTGTTTAGGGGCCAGCTGAAGGACGCCTCCGGGTGCGGGAATTTCTCGCTGCATTGAAGACCTGTTGGTGGCCTTCTGCTGTTGTCTGTTCTGTGGTCGGGTTGTTGTCTCTTTGACACATTCCCCATTTCCATTCTCAATTTTATGATCTTCATGTGACTTCAATGACAAAATACTAATTTTTTTCACATTTTGGTGTTTGAAAAATATTTTTTTTATCCTTTGAATTATGCTTTGGTATTTGGCACATTGATGCAGCACTCCATGATGAAGTGTTGAGTTCCATGGAAGATGCCTCTAATGTTTACTTTGGTCATGATATGAGCTATATTCTACACATGGTTGCATTAATATACATTTCTGTTGAGGACAGTGCTACTGTTGCTCCTTTGTAATGTTTGTCTTACTGACTAATCTATTCAAAATAATTATTTAATGAATGGCTATTATTTATTTTGAATTTATTGAACCATAAAATTAATTTTTGACTTTTCACATTTTACATAATCAGCTTCGCTTTCGCGGATTATGTAAAATGTGAAGAGTCAAAAATTAATTTTATGGTTCAATAAATTCAAAATAAATTATTGTCATTCATTATAAATAAATTTCTATCAAAAATAAGGCTCAAAGAGCTTTTTAAATATATTATTTATATTAACAATAACAACGTACACACATGTTGGCGTATGAATACACAACGTCAAAGTCATCTTCGCTAGCCAAGGGTTATGATCTACTTCCCTCCTCTCCACCCTTTGCAGATTAAGATAGAATTTCGGAGACACAAGGTAATGATTTTCATTGGTTGCAGTCGAAACTCGCTGCATCCAATCAAAAAGCGCCTATAACATGATCATGTGTAAATGTAGAAAGTGTATGTAAACAATGGCCACATGCTTATTGTGCAACAAGTCTTTACATCCCTAAACATACGACTATATTTAGTGACAATTCGAATGTTTTTAATCAACTAATAGAAGTTCCTGTGTATGTTTCTTGCACAAACGCATGAATGTCAACGTATATTTTCGTTTCCTGCTTTACCAAGTGTGTAGAATCTAGACGCTACCGTGTTTTTACCTCCAAAATTGAAGAGTTCAAGTGCTATCATTGGTCAAGAATAATGTATTCGGAATGGGTGTGACTTTAATCTACCGATAGATGGCGCAACATTGTTATCACAAATGTTGGCTTAATCTGCCAAGGGTGGAGCGGAGGGAAGTGTATCGTAACCCTTGGCTAGCGAAGATGCGTCAAAATGGGCGTGTCGCCATAAAAATTGACAACATTGAAAATAAAGGTAATACTTTTAACCAATCAGAAGACAGTAAATACATCAAATTTATTTATTAAAGTATATCATTTTCCAGCATGGACAAATACAAAGCTATACAGGACAAAGATGAGAAGACAGAAAGGTTAAAGAAAAGGAGATTAAAGTTAGGACAGATGTTAAGAGAAGAAAGAAATAGATGGGAGGTCTGTTTTACATTGTCTCCATAAGTATTTAGAGGTTTTCAGGTGTCCTGTTTTTTTTATTATTAGGCTTATCAATTATGGCATATTAAATTAGGAGATGTGGTATGATTACCAATGAGAAAACTGTCAATTTCTTTGCAATGAAGACTGCATTCTTACTATATTGTTAAATCAAAAAGCTTTGAGAATAAATTTATTTAAAGAACCAATTTTCACTTCCAAACATTTTATGTGGGCGGGATCAATATACTGATTATACATCAGACTGTACTGGTTACCAGAATTTTGGATACACCAAACCAGGTACTTCATATCTGAGAAACAGGCAATATATGCCCTCAATTTTTGAATTCATTCATACATTTTTGTATTATCCAAAATTATCAGTCAATATGTGTTCTACAAGGATCACCAGCTTCACCTTTCATCTGATACCTTAATTACTAAAATATATTCTACATAGTTTTATATTTACACCTATGTGTAGGAACTATTTTGTTTTTAAATATGTACTACTTTCCAGCATGTTCTTTTTTGACCGTGCCCGATTTGGTGGTGTTGCACCTTACAAAGTCTATCCAAATTATTTTGGAAAAGAATTAGTCCGCTCAAACCGGTGCTATGGGCCATCTTAAACTTGCAATGAGGTGAGAGTTTTTTTGCTCTGTGTTGAAGGCTTCACTGTGACTTTGAGATGAAGAACAGCAATAAAGCGCTGTTCCTTTGCTTTTTGTGTATTTTTGCTGTGCATGTGCTGATTTTGTGTCATGGATGGATACCCCATATCCTTTGTTTTTCTATTAGTTTATATGGATTGTAACTTAATTTACCAGCAAATTTGAACTATTTCTTTGCCTGAGAAACAGCAAAACAATGTCAAGTTTCTCCCTTGTTCCACAACAAGAGCTCTGCCCTACTCCCAACGGGGGCCTAAGCTGATCTATACCTCCAGTCCTAACAAGTACAAGTGCACCTAAATTTCTCCTGGTACTTTTAGATATTTGACTGCAACATTGAAACCTGTTTAAAGCCCTGCTTGAACTGTTAGATAGCTCACACATTCATTGGTGAAATTGATTCATTGGATTTTCTTGTAATGGTTTACGTGTTCCATGAACATTTGTACTATGAAAGATTTCTATTTGGCGATATTTCAAATTATTTAGAGGGATGCAGTTAATATGATCATACTTCAGTTAAAACAATACATTTTAAACAGAAATGATAAAAAAAAATTAAACAATGCAAGCAGTGCAATGTAAAGTACAATCCCTATATAGCATTGGACAAAAGGAAGCATTTTTTTATCAAGGGCTTGCCATACTTTCCAGTGAATAATAAATTATTCATACAAATATTTTTGTGAAAATAACATAAATAGAAAACATATGGTACATATTGGTTATTGTATGGCAAACTATAAATTCATCTGGACAAATAAAAACAAAACATATTTAATTCACTTGTTTATGTTGTGTGTGGTTGCATGTGACGAGGAATATAAACATGTCAGAGTCAACAGTCATTCATATTTATTTTACACTGTATAAAACATTATAAGGAATTATTTCATTCAGATTGAAAATAAGAGTATAACATTTTACACAGTTATAACAAACCATGCATAAAGGTTATGTTAATAAATTATTTTCTTACAGGCAGAACTTAAAGGTCTTTCAAGGGATAATTATAGTCGACTGGAAGACATGAAAGAAAGAACAGATAGTTTGCGAAGTGCAAGGGAAGAAAAACGAAAACAGGTTTTACAAGCTTATCAATCATTTTAGTTTTACTAACACATTTTGTTTGTTGTATTTTTATTAACTTCCTATGCAATGAATTTCCTAAAGCTTAATTGAAAAGTCAAGTAGTGCAAATTTCTGTTATTAACAGTTGGTTAATTCTAGAATTAATAAAATTGAAAATGGAAATGGGGAATATGTCAAAGAGACAACAACCCGACCAAAGAGCAAAAAACAGCCAAATGCAACCAATGGGTTTTCAACACAGCGAGAAAATGTCTTTCACTATTGCATAATGTTGTTGAATCAAATTATATCTTATCTCCCTGATCTTATGTGGTTATCTATAGCTATGTCAATACCATTATCATGTAGTAAATTTCATCTGACCTAAGTCACAACTCTATGTAACAGTAGATATTTTTACCCCAACCTATTATAGTAGGAATGGCGTTATGTTTTTTATGGTCTTGTGCATCCTTCCATTATTTTGTGTGTCTGATATTCCTTTTGGCCGTAAGTATCACGTTGAAGTTTCGAAGAAGTTGAGGTCATATCAACTTTAAACTAAATGTAAATTCAAAAATTTTGCATGCACTAAATGTGGAATAAATTATTACAATTTCAGGAAATGCTGTATTACAAATAATACTATCAAAATTAAAAATGATTTTTTTTTTTTTTTTCTGAAATGTAACCAGTCAATTTTTTTTACAATTATAAAAGCATCACAAAAATTTCTGAATATACAGTAGTACACAAGTTTTTTTAACTTTTTAAATTATATGTCAGATTAAGGTTTTGACTCTAATTGCATGGTTCACTGATCATAGAAATGTGATAGTGTGCAACCAGTACATTCTCAGGTTAGATTTAAAGGTAGTTTACCATCAAGATGTGGTAAAATCAACAACTAAATAGGTTTAATTGTGAGTTGAACTTTTCAAATATTTTAAATTCTAATATGACGTCCTTTTATCGTCAACCAGTATAATCACAATATATCTACCTTTAGCGCAAACGCAGTAATACACAAAAACGGCTGTTCCGCGTTACGACCAACTTATTTATACTACCAGATATTCTCAATTTTCTACATCAAAACCCCAAGTTTACGTAGGCCAAGATTCAGATACAATATATTTATCTCTATTCTACAGCAAAATAAACAAATCAGTCCATTTCAATTTATTTTTCATGGTAAAATTTCATAAAACGAAAATTCCGCGAAATGATGTTATTGTCTTGGCATGGCAAGGTGACGTCACAAGTATGTTTTCATAAACAAAAAATCAAATGTAAATACAGGGCATTTTAAAGCTTCTTGTACGCCTCAGAATTAATAAGATTACATTGGAAGAAAATATATATCGTAAGTGAAAAATGCGATTAAAAAAAAATAATCATTGAATTATATAATATTACTAATATTATCAAAATTGGGTAAAACGGAACAGCCAAAACAATATCGTATGTATAGGGCTTTCACGGTTAACAAAATTACTGAATTTGTCCTATTAGAATCGAAATAATTCATGGCAGCCGTCGCTAACGCTCAGGGTAAAATAATCGAATATAAATGCCCAACCCATGGTTAAATGAAAACAAATCTACGGCTGCCATGAATTATTTCTTAAATTACTATACTGACCTATATTTCAAGGTTCACCGAACATAGACATTTGATAGTGTGATCAAAAATGGTGTCCTGCTGACACATATCTTTCAAAGTTTAAGAATTTTAGAAATTGTTATGTTTGTATACTTGTAACACTTTCTGAGCACCATACATTTACAACTAAAGCACCAATCTTGGTACAACTATTTATCCTGAAGACTTGATGGTCAAGGTTGTCTGATAGCATTATGGAAAAATCTTGGCTCCATAGATTTGCCTTTCAAATTTATGTGTAATGATAGATGATGACAAGAAAATGAAATCTCATTAATATCAATGTCAAGGCCACTTGATAGCCTTATAGTGTTTTCTCTTGCATCCCATCTTGGATGAGATAGTAAGAGTCTATGATCCACTAAGCTATAGATTGTTAACTCATTGTTTCTCTACTATCCTGTATTGATTTTACATTACAGTTGGCAGAAGAAAAATTATATGAGTATTGGAAACTGAATAATCCAGACTTAAGAAAGGTATGAAACAATAAGATAGCATTTAAAAGATGTCTTCTTTGTAAAATCTGATAGTTGAGTGTTGTCTTTCTCAAATTTCAATTACATTTCAAATAATCCAATCCCCACAGTAGAAATATAATCCAAATATTGCACATTACAACAGACTAAACCAACCAGCAACTCCCTGTTTCTCCCCAAAAAATAGATTTACAAACATAAAATAATTAAGGACATAAGATACAGTTACAGTGGAGGTAATGAGGTTGCTAAAGTAAAATGTTATTTTTCGAGGTGTCAAACTGTGACATATCCGGAAAAGATGGATTTCGATTGATTTTAACAATCACCTTGAAAACGAGAACATGGACCCCTCTTTTTAAAAATGATATTTGGCTTGATTATGTATGAAGATAATTTGTACCAAATTTTATGAACAAATCACTATTGTTTTTTTTTAAATGAAATAGATATACAGCAAAAAATGTCGGTTTTTCTAAAATTATGAAAAAAAATTTGATAAAAATGAATTATTTTCAAAGATTTGTTACAAAAGTTTAAAGCATAGTTATGTGAAGAAGACATTCCAAATGCTTTTACAAAAGTCTGCTTGTGCTTATCTTTTGAAACAAGAAAAGTTAGTTATGTCTGTCCAAGAACCTGAAATTTTGAGTAAATGTCTAAAATTTCAACCCCATTTATCTCTAAAAGTAGCACATAAAGGTTTATTTTTACTTCCTGTCACAAACTATTGACAACATTTGATCAATAATTTGTTACAATAGTAGCAGACATATTTCTTATACCATAAGGATTAAAGTGTTACACCAACAACGAACGTACTACAATAAAGGATTAGATAAATTTCAACTAGGCCTTATTTTTTACTTGCCCAAATCCATTAAAAGTGAGCATCCCTCCCCTTTACAAGTAAAGCACAAAATAAAACATTGTACAGTCAAGCCACCAACAGGATGACAATAAACTTTTTTAAAAAGATGGCAAGTAATTAGAAAAGCAGCGTCGAAATGTGCTCTTTTCTACTGGAAACTCACTTAGGACCTTAATGGTAACCACAGCTGTTGGTTGAATACTACCTATCAAGAAAATTAAAAAATTAGAAACAACACTCCTAACAGGTTTATGAAGTTTCGACATAAAATATAATTGAAATGTTTAGTACATGTTTTTGTGAGGCCAGTAAGTATTTAAAATCATTAGACTATTGGAAGAAGAAAAAAAACAACATTTTGACTGAAATAGTTAGTATATCATGCCTGTTGCTCTGTCTGTTGACAGATGTGTCAACTTCATATGTCCTTTTTCGATGTTTAGTACTTTTAACAGCATAAGAATAGAAAAAAACACAAACAGCATCAGGGCTAAAAAATTGAAAAAATTACATAAAGACAAATAAGTCCACAGAACACAACACAGAAAACTAAAAATTGAGCTACACAAATCTCACCAAAACACGGGTGAACTCATGTGCTCAAGAAGGGTCTGCAGTTCTTGTGAGTTAGCAATGTAAATTGTTTGCTCAGAGTGTCAGTCTAGAACAAATCTGGGTATTTCAATTTGACATAACATGGTATGTTCCTGAATATGCCTGTTAACCTTGCCACTGAACCTTAATCAGCCTTTACAAATGTGATTCACAATGATAGATCCATGCATTCATTTCTGAATTTACAGTACATAAAACTCTTCATGTTCTAGTGAGCATCAAGTAGAATTATGAAATGAAAATGAATATAAACCAAGGAAACAAGACTGGCTTTGCAATTGAGCTATGAAGTGTTCTGATTAATTCACTTACTCCTCAACAGATTGAGTCAGAGCAGTTAAAAGATCATGTGGTTGGTAAATGGAGTGGACAAGTAGAAGAAAAAGAACAGGTATTTTAAGTATCTTTATAACTATACATTGTCACTTACAGACATTATGTTTTGATCAAGTAGTTTTGGAATGTTTAGTACTCAGGGTTGGTAACGTCCCAAATTTTTTTTTTTCTAAAATGAGTATCGAGATTTTTGGTGTACCGCTTTTTATGCAACTACAATATTTTTGATCATAATATGTTACTTGGTTCCAACTAGGCAACATGTGCCCATTTATTTTCACCACTGTTCATCAACAATCCTTAACACGATAACAACATTATTCTTTACACCATAAAAATAAAAATATGAGAAAGGTGTAGACTTTTATTGAGTTTTAGTATACTGCATGTCAGTACAGTAGAAAGGTGTAGACTTTTATTGAGTTTTAGTATACTGCATGTCAGTACAGTAGAAAGGTGTAGACTTTTATTGAGTTTTAGTATACTGCATGTCAGTACAGTAGAAAGGTGTAGACTTTTATTGAGTTTTAGTATACTGCATGTCAGTACAGTAGAAAGGTGTAAACTTTTATTGAGTTTTAATATACTGCATGTCAGTACAGTAAAAATGGCTCATCATCAGGTAAAACACAATAAAAGGAACAATTAGGTTGCACTCGAGGTCAAAAACAAAGGTCAACATAATAGAAAAAAAATGTGATCCTGAATAAGTAATTCTTTAAATTTGTAAAACTCATTTGGTTCGTGGAAAAAACAATGAGAAATGTTTTATATTCTACTTGGTATGGGCTGGTTACGGACACTACTTGTAAAATTAACCTCTGGAAATTTATGTCTTTAATGAACTATCCCAATTCTTTTTTGTACAATAATAATTCCAATACAATTAACAAAATACCAAACAAAAAAATCACAGGAAAAAAATTTAACTTTATCATTATCAAAACTATTAAGGGTTGACCTACTATTCATGGGAATATAAATCACAGAAGAAAATGTATTCCTTACATAAATGGTATTTAAAATGAACTCAGTAAGTTATTTGAGTTACAGACACTACATTGATCTTATGTTTTATAATTTACTCAATATGAATAACTTTTCATAGGTAACATATTAAATTTGTGTATTTTCTTTTTATTGTTTACATTTTTTAACAACAGAATGACAATTGATTGTAAATAAATATACCCATATATATTAAAGTTAATTCCTATGTAAACAAACATGACATGTTGACATGGATGGGACCAAGTATATGATTTCAAATCTGAAGTAAAACCTTTAACATATCTAAACAAAGTAGATTCTATGCACTTAAAGGAATGATAAAATTTACATTTTTTTAGTTAATCAGAAAAAAAGAAATGCTGATGGTTACGGAGACTACACACTGCCAACAATTACATACTTTTTGTGGATAAAAGGACAGTAATTTCTACAGCATTTCATGAAATAAATATTTTTCGAGCATTACACACTACCAGAATTGTAGATAAAACAAAAATAAAGCATACTTTACCTTCAAATATACTTGAGTTCATTAAATTAACTTTTAAGTGTATTTTATATGTCATATACATTGTACTAATGTCAAGTACAGATATTTAACAAATCTACATGCTAGTGTACATGGTGGAAATCAATTGGAGGAAGAAAAACCTTAAATTTTGAAAAAATGATAAAAAAAAAAAATTTTGCAACAGACATTAAAATATCCCTGGGATACGGACACTACAAAAATCTTCTGAAGATTTAAAAACCACAGAAATAATCGTGAAGATGATTTTTCTTAACCCAACATTACAAAAGAACTCATCTTTTGAGTTTATGACAAACTGATTCCAAAATGGGGGTTTTACAATAAGATTTTCTGGTTTCAAATTAGTACGTCAAGGCTTACTATCAGCTCAAATATTTTAAGCAGTTAACTGTTTTCATCATTTTTTAAAATTTTAAATCAAACGATAATGATGATACAGCAAAGCAGACATAAAAGAATCTAGAAATTCAGCCTTTCTTTGATGAAATAAAAATATTTATATCATGGTTACAGACACTACATCATTTTTGTAGTGTCCGTAACCATATTTTCATTTATACTGACTAAATTTTAATAAGAAGGTGCAAAATTTTGTTATTATGTTAGTGTTAGGTGTCAAATCTATAAAGAAAAATAGCTTATTGTTTACTGTTCTATTCTTTCTATGAGAATAAATAGCTGGTTATGGACACTACACTTTTTTTGAAAAATATTTTTTTCTATTTTGAAAATTTCAAAAATATTCTATATGAATCATTACATTTATATAACTGTATTTTATTTTAGTATTGTTATATATGAGTATATTGAAATACATTTTTAATGAAAAATCTTGCAATTAATTTTATTTTCAGGGCCATAAATGATCAACACTTAATAAATTGGAAAAATGTATAACAAAGCACCACTTTTACAATTCTGCATGCTAAATTACTAAATTAGCTCTGATTTTCGCAAAGTTGGAATCGATTTAAACGCCAATTAATAATCTGTAAAGGATAACATGAGAAAAGAACATTACACTTACAATTCAAAAGATTTTGAAGGTAAAAATGATGTAAAGTTTGAAGTGCAACTGCATAACGTCTGAAAATGACCATTTTTGGACCACTAATCTCTCTGGTGTTAAAAAACTATTCAAGAAAGAATCTTAAAATTTTAAAGGAGGTTAAAAGATTTAATGTCAAATATTAAAAACAGAAAACTGTCATCCTTCTGTATTTAAGTTAGCTGTAGAGCTTACATAACAAAGACCAATTGTAAATGTCACTGTTATTGTGTTTCACCTGCATATGAAATATGATTAGAACTGTATTATAATTCTTAGAAAATATATTAACCAAATTTGTTTCTGAAATATTTTTTGTATATTTGCTTTCTCTTTCATCATTGGGTAATGTGAATTAAAAGTTGTATTATGATGATATAAACCTTGTGTATATCAAAACTATACGTATATCATTTTAGTGTTTAAAAAAATTAAATTGTAAAGATATTTCATTGAATTTATAATATATAATTTTTGTATGTGTTTAGAAACATGACATCTTTTCATTTTCGAAATTAATTTTTCATAGATGAATATTTTGGAAAATAAACCAAATTTTTAGGACAAAGATTTTAAAATATATTTAAACAAGTTGAGTAAGTCAACAGGAATCATTATTATACATTTCTGGCTATGTGAAATACATATACCTATATACATAAACGGTGATGTAACAGAAGTTTATAATTAACAATATGTTTGATTCCCAAGTTGTCAAGTAAAGCCATGTAGCTGTTTAAACTTATGTTTGCTGCAAAACAGAAAATAAATCCCTGTGTATAGTTGAACAACAAATTTAAATATTCAACAAAATATAAATTTTCTATAGGCTTGTATGTATAGACTTTGGCAAAACCAGGAAAATACAAGTTTTTCCTCAGTCCACAAAAATTGATACCCATCAAAATAAATTCTGATTAAACCAAAGACTTTTAAACTAAGTCTTGTACTTGCTATTTCCCACAAAAAATGTATTATTTAAGATTAACAGCTAAGATTGGTTGAGCCCAGTGTCCAGATTGGGTGGGTTATCTTCACTAAAAGCAGGATATAGTCATATGTAATCAACATGTTATCACTTCAATATGCATATAATATTTACTGCTTGATATTTGTCATTCATCCATCCACCAATTAATCCATATGTTCACTTGTGTTTCACTTAGTTTTACATTTGACCCTATTAGAAATGAACTGAAGAATATTGAAAGAATAGCAATCAAAAGTATATTTAGCAAAAACTGTTGTGAACTGCTGATGTCATTTATATCTATCTAAACAAAAACAGATAGTTTTCTTCCATTAGAGTCAATAGATTTATAAGGTTTGACAACAGTTAAAAGTACAGACACAATTTTGGGGTCTTTTCTTTTTATGCCACACCTACGATAGTAGTAGGGGCATTATGTTTTCTGGTCTGTGCGTCCGTTCGTTTGTCCATCCGTCCGTCCATCCATCTGTCCTGCTTCAGGTTAAAGTTTTTGGTCAAGGTAGTTTTTGATGAAGTTCAACTTGAAACTTAGTACACATGTTCCTTATGATATGATCTTTCTAATTTTAATGCCAAATTAGAGTTTTGACCCCAATTTCACGGTCCACTGAACATAGAAGATGATAGTGCGAGTGGGGCATCCGTGTACTGTGGACACATTCTTGTTTTTTACAGAATTTCAAAACATTGATATTCCCATGTTGATGCCATTGTGTAAATTGGTTGAACATTTGAAGCAATTGTTAATGTATACTATTACATTTGTCTTGACCATCAAGTGAGACTCTGTTAAACCTGATGACTTTATATGAAGTAGTTTCAATAATAAACAGGTGTATTTATAAAGAACAAACATCTATTAATTTTAGAAATTAGATCAAGAGAGAAGAGAAAAGGAAAAGTTTGAAAGACAAATGGAGGAGGAGAGGTTACAAGCTTTAGTGTTAGAAAGACAGAAAGAAGAAGAAAAATTGAGGGAAGAAATAAGGATAAAAGATATTGTACAAGAACAAATGTTTGAATTAAAGGAAAGAGAACATGAGGTAAACTATGTTTTTATATAATATTTTTCTCCTTTCTTATTTGGAAGAAATATATGGTCTTTGTTTTTATGCCCCCGCTGTCGCAGAGGGAGCATTAAGTGTTACCCTTTTCCTTCCGTCCCTTACATCGCCAAAATTGGTTTCCATTCTCTAATTTTAGTTTGCCTCAACAAAATGTTATAATACTTATACACAATGCTTATTACCACAAAACACAGATCAAGTTCGAAATTGGGTGGTGTCACTTTTAACGTTCATGAGTTATGCCTCTTTATAAACATAAAAATTGCTGAATTTTTCGTTTCCGTTCTCTAACTTTAGTTTGCCTCAGCCAAATGTTATGAAACTTATACACAATGCTTATTACCACAAACACAGATCAAGTTTGAAATTGGGTGTCGTCACTTTTACTGATCTTAAGTCATACCCCTTTTTAAAATGGACAATTTGCTAAATCTGTCGTTTCCGTTCTCTAACTTTTAGTTTGCCTCAACCAAATGTTATGAAACTTATACACAATGCTTACAATCTCAAAATGGTCTTAACTATGTGAATCCTGCATCTGTATGTGGAAGTTGACTCATGCATATTTACAAGCAGGGGCATCTGTGGCCCATAGACACATTCTCCATTTATTTCATATAGATTATAGAAGTGGTGAAATATTTATTGTGCAATTCCTTTGGCACTGAAAATTTTAATCTGGAGCATACATTTTTACATGGAATGGCTTATTACTTTAATGTGCATCACACACATTAAAATCATTTAAATCAGTTTTAATTACAAATAAAAGAAATAAAGGGTTTTGAAAATGTCCATTTAAGAAGGACAAATCTGTTGACAATTGGCTATGATGTCCAGTAGAATATTTTCAGTCTAGTTTCAAAGGATGGTGTCTAGATTTCTAGACAAAATCTTTTAAGCCATTAGCAATACCTTAGCAGACTGTGCTTGATAATGCTTTGTGGTAAGGGAAAGACTCTATTGATTTTTGGTCAATAGGTTAAAGGTTGAAGTCACAGCAGCTCTTATACTCTGAAATTCAGGCAAAATTTATGTTGCCAGATGTTATCTTTTTGCACAATATGTCCAACTTATTTAAGTTGATAATGCCCCTTGAGATTGGTAAGTCCCCTATTCATTTGGGGGTCAATAGGTTTATCACAGTAGCTGTTCATAGATTATATTTTTTGCAAAATGTTAGTTTTTTGCATGAAAATACTATAATTCTACCAGTCTTCAAGTTTATGACCCTCAGCAGGTGTTATAAGTTGTGATTACAGGTTATCTGCTTAACGCCATCGGATGGGTCACTAATCAGTTAATTAATAAACCTCATAATTGACCATGGCCATCATAATTATTTTTTTTAATTTTTCCCAGTAAAGTTAAGTCAGTCGGCATTTCAATTTCAATATTTCACAAACGATTACAATTTGCAGTTTGTTTATCGCAGTTTCGTCATTTGAACAGAATTGTTTTCCCCCGGACAGTTCGCTTTAATTTCAATATTTCTCAAACGATCACAATTTGCAGTTCGTTTGTCGTAGTTTCGTCATATGAACGTATTTTCTTCATATTCTAAATAACTTTTCATCAAAAAGTTTCGACAATTTCAATTATAGTGTTCAGAAATATTTTCAAGAGTCAGTCAGGTGCTTTCTTTAATATGTACTGGGCATGCATGAAAGTATCTTATGAATTTTACACTAAAACGTAAAATACGAAATCATTTAGTATCAAAGTAAACGATCGAATCAAATGTATTTCTTACTAAGCAAATTAATTTAAAAAATGATAATTTCCTGCCTTTTTCGTAAGCATGAAACCAAGCTGTAGACGAATCCGCATTCATTCTGAATTTATTATCGTCTTGTCACTTCCCGGTATCATTTCTTTTAAAAATCGAAAGTAAACGAGATCTATTCTTGATTAATTTACAATATATACAGTCATCAGAGTGGTTCCAACAAGGATTTGTACACAAATAAGTAAATTGCAGTGAAATAGTTGTTACAAGTTCATTTATGCTGTGATTCCTGTTCATTATAGAAATAAATTCCAAATATCGATTTAAACGTTTTTACAGGGATAATGATTATACAGTGAAATAGTCGTTACAAGTTCATTTATGCTGTGATTCCTGGTTTAAAAAAAAGGAACCCAGCTTTTGTTGATGAGGAATGTCCCCTGAAAATAACTGAAGTGAAATTGTGAACTAGATTTCCTGATCCTTGTTCTAATCTTCATATTTAAGCACCACATCAGTCAAATCATCCAATAACTGCCTAGCATGCCTAAGTCCTTCAAAGATGTATAGCTAGTTATATACATCCTTGGTCCCTTGCTGTTACCAAAAATAAGGTTTATTTTCATCTCGCACTAAAGTGACTAAAGTCCTCAAAATCCTAGCTTAAACCCTGGTCAATTGATTAATGGTCAAGGTTACAGCAACAAATCCATAAAGATTTCAACTTGGCTTATGCATCCAACTGTTTGATAAAAAATTATTTGCTTTAGTTCACATCTATCTATGCTGAACACTTTAGCAAACAATATGAACAAAAGGAGATGTGGGGTTTAAGTCAGAGACAGCAACCAAATGACAAAAATATCCATAAGAAATCTAGAGGGCAATATTCAGTCTTCAATAATAGACGAGAGTCTACAAAATATATGTCAAGCAAACTACAAAAATGTAACTCAACTGAGTATAGAAAATGTGTAAATTTAACAGAATCAATCTAAGATCTGCCAATAAAAGCCAATTCTGCCAATAATGAAATTCCTACATCCCTGGCTTTCAAACATTAAGGTTTGAGCGCTTGTGAAGAAGGTAAATTTATAGAAGCACAATGCACAAAATTGAAAAGTGTTATTTTCATTTATAAAACTACAAAGGTTAAAAAAAATGCTACAATTTGTTTTTTTTTTATTTCAAATAATACAAAAAATACAAATGAAAACATTATTTTCTATGTAATGCATGAAAATAACCAATGTCCAACAGATAACCAAAGAAAGAATGGGTATACTGAGTTTCCATCTGTCTGTCCTTCCCATGAAATGTTTGTTGCACTCTTCTCAGGAACTATGAATATCCTAAAATGTGGTATCAAGCTTCATGTGAGCATGCTATACTGAGTGCTTCATTTATAGATTCATCACTCAACAATTTCCTGTTACCTGCATACTGATATATTCTTTAGGGATGTCAGCGAGTATGTTAGTAGTGGAGTATCGCTCAGTAGTACTAAGTATCTAAAAACCAAAATGATACTTGACTAATCTGTTTCCTGTTAAAGCATTGCCTTTTTTCTTTATAAACAATTGTTTTTTGTCGAGCTTGCAACATTTATGTCGCGAAATCGAGACATAGCGATCCTAGATTCCGTCATCGGCGGCGGCACCAACATTCAGTCTGTGGTTAAAGTTTTTTAGACATCAATAACTTTGTCAAACCTTCTTGGAATATTATGAAATTTGGACAGAAGCTTGTTTATGACCAAAATACAGTATCTAGAGTAAAATTTTGAAAATATTTGTTTTCATTTTTCCTTATTTTACTGATAAATGGACTTAATGTTTTTCACAGTTAACATTCACATTCAGTCTGAGGTTAAAGTTTTTCAGTCATTAATAACTTTGTCAAACCTTCATGGAATTTTATGAAATTTGGACAGAAGCTTGTTAATGACATAGATACAGTATTCAGAGCAAAATTTTGGAAATATTTACTTTCATTTTTCTGTATTTTACTGATAAATGGACTTAGTTTTTGTCGAGCCTGCGACTTTTGTCGCAGACAGCTCGACATAGGGATAGTGATCCGGCGGCGGCGGCGTTAGCTAACTTCTTTAAAGCTTTATATTTTAGAAGCTAGAAGACCTGGATGCTTCAAACTTTGTATATAGATGCCTTATGATATGAAGTTTCCGTCTGTCATATGTCCATTGTCCTTGACCTCATTTTCATGGTTCAGTGACTACTTGAAAAAAAGTCAACATTTTTTGTAATGTTAATTTCTTTCTTATTATGAGTAATAGGATAACTATATTTAGTATGTGCGTACCTTGCAAGGTCCTCATGCCCGTCAGACAATTTTCATTCGACCTCAACCTCATTTCATGGATCAATGAACAAGGTTAAGTTTTCGTGGTCAAATCCATATATCAGATACTATAAGCAGTAGGTCTACTATATTTAGTATATGGAATGATTGTAAGGTGTACATGTCCAACTGGTAGATGTCATCTGACCTTGACCTCATTTTCTTGGTTCAGTGGTCAAAGTTAAGTTTTTGAGTTTTGGTCTTTTTTTCTAATACTATATGCAATAGGTCAACTATATTTGGTGTATGGAAATATTTTATGATGTACATGTAAGTCTCGCAGGTTTTATTTGACCTTGACCTCATTTTCAAGGTTCATTGCTCAGTGTTAAGTTTTTGTGTTTTCGTCTGTTTTTCTTAAACTATAAGCAATAGGTCAACTATATTTGTTGTATGGAAGAATTGTTAGCTGTACATGCCTGCCTAGCATGGTTCATCTGACCTTGACCTCATTTTCATGGTTCATTGGTCAATGTTTAGTTTACTTGGTTAATGTTAAGTTTATGTGACAGTTGTAATAAAGCTTTATATTTAGGACTATCAACATAATATCAATGATTAGTAAAGAAGGCGAGACATTTCAGCGTGTGCACTCTTGTTGGTTTATTGAATGATTGTAAGATGTACATGTATTTCTCGTTTGGTTTTTCTGACCTTGACCTTATTTTCTTGGATCATGTTAAGTTTATGTGTTACTTGTAGTAAAGCTTTATATTTAGGACTATCAACATAAAATCAATGGTTAGTAAAGAAGGCGAGACATTTCAGCATGTGCACTCTTGTTTTTACAGTTAAGAAGTAGATACAGTCTGGGGTTAAAGTTTGTTATACATCAATTACTTTGTCAAACCTTCATAGAATTTTATGAAACTTTGGCAGAAGCTTTTTCATGATTAAGAGATAATGTCTGAAGCAATCTTTTGAAAATAATACTTTTGAAAATAATATATTTTCATTTTCAGGATTTTTCTGATAGATGGACTTAGTTTTTTACAGTAAACATTTACAGACAGTCTGAGACTAAATTTTTTTGACATGATAAATTTGTAAACCTTCATGGATTGTTATAAAACTTAAAACTTGGACAGAAGCTAATCTTCAAGACCAAGAAATAGCATCTAGAGAAAAAGTATGAATTATTTTTAAAATTTTGTATTTTACTGATAAATGGACTCACTTTTAAAGTCAACATTACACCTTTACACTGACAGCAGCAATCGTAGGCAAGACACAGGGTTCCTCGGACCCCTTATGAATTTTTCTTGAGAAAGCCCCTCTGAAAAATACTACTTGGTGTTTTTAACGACCTTGACTGGCTGTTAAGCTCTTACACGGTTGGTCTGAAAACTGAATAATAATAACAGATTAATCATTGTTAAAATACATTTCATTTTTATACGACCGCATAAAAATTTTGTGGTTGTATATTGGTATGACGTTGGCGTCGTCGTCTGAAGACACATTGGTTTTCGCACTCTAACTTTAGTTTAAGTGAATGGATCTCTATGAAATTTTACCACAAGGTTCAATACCACAAAAGGAAGGTTGGGATTGATTTTGGGGTTTATAGTACCAACAGTTAAGGAATTGGGGGCCAAAAAGGGGCCAAAAATAAGCATTTTTGTAACTTCCACACATAACTTGTGTGTTAGAGTATGGATCTCTCTGACATTGTACCACAAGGTTCCATATCACAAAGGGAATGCTGGGATTGATTTTGGGGGTAATAGCCTCAAAATTTTAGGAATTAGGGGCCAAAAAAGGGGCAAAAAACAAGCATTTTTCTAGTTTCATGACAATAACTTGTGTGTTAGTGTATGGATCTTTCTAATATTGTACTACAAGGTTCCATATCACAAAGGAAACACTGGAATTAAGTTTGGGGGTAATTGCCCAAAACGTTTAGGAATAAGGGGCCAAAAAGGGGCCAAAAATAAGCATTTTTCTAGTTTCCAGACAATAACTTGTGTTTAAGTGTATGGATCTCTCTGAAATTGTACTGCAAGGTACCATACCACAAAGGGAAGGCTGTGGTTGATTTTGGGGGTAATTGCTTCAAAATTTTAGGATTAGGGGCAAAAACAGGGGCAAAAAACAAGCATTTTTCTAGTTTCATGACAATAACTTGTGTGTTAGTGTATTGATCTTTCTAATATTGTACTACAAGGTTCCATATCACAAAGGAAAAACTGGAATTAAGTTTGGGGGTAATTGCCCAAAACGTTTAGGAATAAGAGGCCAAAAATAAGCATTTTTCTAGTTTCCAGACAATAACTTGTGTTTAAGTGTATGGATCTCTCTGAAATTGTACTGCAAGGTACCATACCACAAAGGGAAGGCTGTGATTGATTTTGGGGGTAATTGCCTCAAAATTATAGGATTAGGGGCAAAAACAGGGGCAAAAAACAAGCATTTTTCTAGTTTCAGGACAATAACTTGTGTGTAAGTGTATGGGTCTTTCTGAAATTGTACTACAAGGTTCCATATCACAAAGGAAAAGCTGGAATTGAGCTTGGGGGTAATTGCCCAAAACGTTTAGGAATAAGGGGCCAAAAAGGGGCCAAAAAACAAGCATTTTTCTAGTTTCCAGACAATAACTTGTGTTCAAGTGTATGGATCTCTCTGAAATTGTACTGCAAGGTACCATACCACTAAGGGAAGGCTGGGATTGAGTTTGGGGGTGATGAATCATAAGCATGATAAAGGGGTTCAAAAAATTGGGGGGGGGGGGGGGGGGGGTTTCTTTAAAATTTTCCATTTTAAATTGGTTATTTCTGATTTATATATAAAAGCAAATAATAATGATATGGTTTGAATAGGTAAATTAAAAAATTTTAAGTTCTTAGTCCACATTCATTCTGTGTCAGAAACCTATGCTGTGTCAAATATTTAATCACAATCCAAATTCAGTGCTGTATAAAGCTTGAATGTTGTGTCCATACTTGCCCCTACTGTTCAGGGTTCGACCTCTGCTGTCGTATTAAGCTGCGCCCAGAGGAGCATTTTATTGTATGTTTGTATAAAACTCATTTAAAATGGCCTCCGTAAGAGGTGGGCAATTATTGAGTTGTTTCATATTTTTCATGTCAGGGCCTTTTATAGCTGGCTATACAGTATGGGTTTTTCTCATTGTTGAAGGCTGTACAATTGCCTATAATTGCTTACATCCACTTTATATGAACTTTGGTGGATAGTTGTCTCATTGGCAATCATACCATATCTCCTTATTTTTATATTGAGAGAAGCTTTCCTAGGCTTACCCATTCCACTATATTGGTAAGTACAGTCAGAGGAAATATTTTTGTCTGCTGGACTGTATATTACAAAGTTGGGATCCCCACTCTCCCCAGAAATAGGATACACCTATTTACTGGCTATGACGAAAAAAGCGAGTTTATTGTTCCCTGAGACACCAACTATTTCTCGATGCTTTGTGTCGACGTTGGGAAATATTTGGTGTCTCTGGTGACAATTAACCTGGTATTGTCCTGATAGCCAATAAATAGGTGTTTTATTATACAGAAAGAAATGTTTGCTTCCAACATTTCCCATGAGAAGACTATTAACCGGTAAATAGTTTTTGAAACTATTAAATGGTTAACTTATTAATTAGAATATTGTTTACTTAAGTAGTACATGTAGTAAATGAGCTATTAATTGTGGTATATATTTCCTTTGACTCTTATCTAGTCCCTGATAATGATGTAGGGATATACAACCATCAGACAACGACCCACAAAGCACAAAATGCATATAATTGTGTTCCAACTTTGTAGATACTTTTCTGAGCAAGTAATCAAGCATCGCTCGGTTCTTGATTAGTAATTCTTCATCAAGCTGACATCCCATATTTTCTTATACATAAAGACCATGTATCAAAATTTCATCACTTTTTTGTCAGGAACTATAAATCAGGGCTCTCTGAAATTTAGAATCAAGCTTTATGTGATCAGGCTATACAGTATAATACATTTTCACTTCTATTACACATCAACTCCCTGTTAATCGAATACATATCGTGGAGGTATTATTTGTGTTTTACATGCGTTGCTAAAACAAGGGAGAAGATCAGAATTGTACAAGGCCTTGTTTTTTTTTATAATGAATGATGTTTATAAGAAAATAGAACCAGCAGTCAGCTGCATACTACTACTGATACTATAAATTAGAGAACTAATACTTATCCCAAAAATACAAGATGTAGTGGTTCCATAGCAACAGTATATTTATAACAGTATAAAAGAACTTAAGTCACTACTTTATTAAGTTTGTGTTATTGATATACTGTTTTGCTGTGTTTGGAACTATTATAAAACCTATCAAATTAACTTTGTAAACTTTCAACTTTGATTGCAAGACTCTTGCTATAATTACAGGCAAAGATTTTAAAAAGAGAACAGGAGCAGTTATTGAGGGAACAATGGGAGTTAGAAAACTTGGAGGAAGAGAGAAAAGAGAGAGAAGTTCAACGTAAACAAAGAGAAGTAGGGTGAGTGTCATTAATTGAGTGGAGATTTATCTGGAGACAAATTAAATTGGATGGTAGAAAATGAAAAGATGCTCAAATGCAATGAGTTTTCCAGAATTTTCCAGAATATATTAAATGGGTGTCAGAATGGACTTTTTACTGGAACAAACAAAAGATGACTGTTTTATCCAATGTTTGTTTATTATTACCGTTCATGATATGTCCTAGCTGTTTTTGGATGTACTTGAAGGGATATTTGCTATAAAATTGCATAAAATGTAGGTACGTATCATATATTAGTTTTGTCATGATTGACCTACTTCGGAAAAGATAGCAGAAATGAGGCCTGAATATTTCATGAAAATGACTGTTTTCTGCATAGTTCCTCTGCCATATCAGATTTCCAGATATTAAAAGGGAAAGTCCGTGATTTTTTACTTATCATCTAAATATGTTCATTTTAACATAAAAAACACATTCACAGTTTTAAATTTATATTCTTTCTAATAATGGAGAAAATCAAGTATTTGTAACTTTTTTGGTTGACCTACGCCACTGGGTTGTGACGTTTTAACCCGATTTGTTGAATCATGGGGAAAAATAAAATCTGTTAAAGTCTTAATTGCTTATCAGAATTTTACGTAATTAAAAGCGCACAGATGACCGTTGGTCGTAGTTAATAACCACAATATAAGAATGAAAGAAAATGAATATGTGTGTACCGATTTGTATTGATTGAATAAAACTTCCCATATGAAGTTATCTAAATATGAATATTTTCGAATTAATTTCATAAATTATTGAGATTTTTTCATAAAATATCTATAGAACATTTTTACTGAATTGAACTGAAAATATTTTAAGTTTTATTTACTGTTATAACTTTGATAACCATTTCAATGCAAAATATTTGTGAACAGAGTGTGTAAATTATTTTGTAAAGTCATTGTTTATTTCTCGATTTGAGGAGAATTCGTTTGAACTTTAACTTGCAGCAATTTAGCCTCAGGCGTACACAGGTGTGAATTCAAGTGTACACAGGTGTGAATATTGTCATTTTGAATGGATTAACAGAAAGAGTATAGCGTGTTTAATATACCCAGATGAAATACCTGATGACAATAGAGAAACAATAATTAAATTGTATAAATTAATTGAAAATTAACATTCAACTTTTTAATTCCGGAAGTGTTACAATATTAAAATGGAACAATTTTCGGTTACGTTCTATGCAATTAGCATAAAGTTAAGATATGAAGTTAAAAGAATAATACTTTTAATCTTAAAAATTAAATGTAACATTTCCCAATTAATAATCATTGCACATCTGTTTAATTTACTTTACCGTAATATTCTTTAACTTGTATTTAAATCTGGCGATGTTTAAATGCTAACAATCGTAAAACTATCGCAATTTTAAAGTTTTTAATTGAAAAAATACAACAGTACAACATGCATGATTTTTTTGTCGAGCCTGCGACTTTTGTCGCAGAAAGCTCGACATAGGGATAGTGGTCTGGCGGCGGCGGCGTTAGCTAACTTCTTAAAAGCTTTATATTTTAGAAGGTGGAAGACCTGGATGCTTCATACTTTGTATATGGATGCCTCATGTTACGAAGTTTCCGTCAGTCACATGTCCAATGTCCTTGACCTCATTTTCATGGTTCAGTGACTACTTGAAAAAAAAGTTAAGATTTTTTGTAATGTTAAATTCTCTCTTATTATAAGTAATAGGATAACTATATTTGGTATGTGCGTACCTTGCAAGGTCCTCATGCCCGTCAGACAGTTTTCACTTGACCTCGACCTCATTTCATGGATCAGTGAACAAGGTTAAGTTTTGGTGGTCAAGTCCATATCTCAGATACTATAAGCAATAGATCTAGTATATTCGGTGTATGGAAGGACTGTAAGGTGTACATGTCCAACTGGCAGGTGTCATCTGACCTTGACCTCATTTTCATGGTTCAGTGGTTATAGTTAAGTTTTTGTGTTTTGGTCTGTTTTTCTTATACTGTATGCAATAGGTCTACTATATTTGGTGTATGGAATGATTGTAAAGTGTACATGTCTAGCTGGCGGGTGTCATTTGACCTTGACCTCATTTTCATTGTTCAGTGGTCAAAGTTAAGTTTTTGAGTTTTGGTCTTTTTTTCTAATACTATATGCAATAGTTCAACTATATTTGGTGTATGGAAATATTTTATGATCTATATGTCAGTCACGCATGTTTTATTTGACCTTGACCTCATTTTCAAGGTTCATTGCTCAGTGTTAAGTTTTTGTGTTTTGGTCTGTTTTTCTTAAACTATAAGCAATAGGTCAACTATATTTGTTGTATGGAAGAATTGTTAGCTGTACATGCCTGCCTAGCATGGTTCATCTGACCTTGACCTCATTTTCATGGTTCATTGGTCAATGTTTAGTTTACTTGGTTAATGTTAAGTTTATGTGACAGTTGTAATAAAGCTTTATATTTAGGACTATCAACATAATATCAATGATTAGTAAAGAAGGCGAGACATTTCAGCGTGTGCACTCTTGTTTAATTTTCTTATCAACATTTCATTCTTACATAATTAAATTCATTTGACAATCACTTAGACAAATTATTTGTGAAAAGAATACCAATTATCGTTTATTTCATTAATGAATATACATACATTATAAATCTAAGCTAATACATTAATTTGTTTGAGGATTTTTTTTAGGATAGCCGTCATTAATCCAAATTAGTAATACAGTTGTTGTAATTAAAGGCATATCTTAGTAATGTATTACTGATATTGACGATTTTAGAACAGTTCGTCCCAACCTCGTTGTTCTTGCTTTACTAGTATACTTGTAAGTTTCCTGACGTATAAGCGCCATTGAGGATGAGCTCCAGAGATAGCAGACAAGTAGCGTATTTGTTTGTTGGGGCAGGAGAGGCCATGCAACCACTTGTACAGATAAACAAGCTTATGTTGTCAACACTATCAGAAAGAGTTCCCATCGTCGGATGGGGTATATGAAGGTTCCAAGAATGAACTATTGACATGTCTGACTCTGAACAGTTAGTAAACAGACTTAACAATGATCTATAGACATCGACCGCTTGTTCTTGATATTTGAAACTGCATGCATATATACGTTTATGAGAGTGATTATTAATCTTGTGTCTGACGAAAACTAAATACCTGCATGGTTATATCTTGCCATACGTTTGTATTGGTTTGGTGGGTGTTCACTCAAAATCGTAATTCAAAAATTGTGTTTGTGAGATGTAGATTCACTTCAATACCGAATATTGTCTATATATTTCACAAGTGTATACCACGGAGAAGATCTGAAGGTATATTACTCCTATTTTGTTTCGGTGTGAACCATCGATGTTTACAGCAATATTTAATGAATAAGATGATGATGGTAGAAAGAACTATGAGCGTCATGTGGAAAATATTTCATGTCGGACCATGAGTTAATCTGTATGAAAAGATTTCCAATACAACCATATTGAGTAGGAATTTTTACATGCTATACTCTAGTACTAGTATTAGAATGTAGGACAGAAAGTCACAGGACAAAAAGTCACGGACAAAAAGTCACGGACGAAAAGTCACAGGACAAAAAGTCACAATTCAGTTTTGAGATTATTTTTCTCTGAACGCGAAAACACTAATTTTAAAAATAAATTTTTGATTTTTTCTTGAACTATAATATATGAAGCAACTTTGTTATTAAAATTTATTCAATAAATATTAATGATGATCAAATAATTGTTATGATAACAAAAATTTCAAAGTGGTTTGGCACTTAAATGGCTTCATGGTGCCAAGAAATATATTATTTGCATGATTAAAATTTAATAATTTTTCATTTATCAAGGCTTATGAACAATTTCCTAAACTTAAAAATGAATAAATGTAAAAAAAGAAAATATTTGAAGAAATTTCTCTTATATATTCAAACAATTGTCAACAAACTATTTGTGACTTTTTGTCCTGTGACTTTTTGTCCTATCCAATTTGTGACTTTATGTCCTGTGACTTTCTGTCCGTTTACCTAGTATTACAGGGTTCTTGTGTCGTTTAACTCAGACACACATCTTTTACTTTAAGATGTATGAAAGGTTCTAAATATATATATATATAACAATAATCAAACGCCTATAGGCAATCACTAAAATGGTATGAAGTTTTTATACAGATTTATTCTTATTTACACAATCATTAACAAACTAAATAAATTTAAGAAAGTAACACCGTGACACTACGATATAACAAATGGGATACTAATTATTTTTAACCATGCTATACAGAAACTTAACACATCAAGCAGGAACATATATATTAATATACTGTTCCCAGCATCAAGTTAGTGCACGTGAATACCAATTAGGAACACGATGTGTGATTTTGTATAACTAAAAATATCAAAGCGAGCAATAACTTTGTCGAGCAAACATTTTTTTTTACTATGCCTCTCTTTATCTCCGCTCCTTTTTTCGTCGATCATTCTCTATATTGTTCTCTATTTCGGTTATTTTTTTTCACTATGCCACTCTATCTCCGCTCCTTTTTCCCCTGTCGTCCTAATCCTTATATAGATAGGGACATTAGACAACGAAGGGGCTCTCTTATCTTCAATGAATTATTATTGATAGTGACTATAAGTGCTGCATTACTTTATATAGCTGCATGTTTGCCAATCGACAAAAGCTTGTATTTGCGTGAAGAATTTTTTTTTCAAAAACATGGTCCAGAATCATGACAAAACAATATTCATTTCACAAAAATGTTCAAAGGTCATGTTTATAATTTTTTTTAAACTTATTATCAGCAAAAATAGTGGATAATATTATTATCAGAACATCATTCATGAAAAGGTGGAATTATAATTTCAAACACACACAAGATAAACAACGTTAGATACAAATATATGGTTCAATTAATGCTACCTGTGCACACCGGGTACCTCAATAAAGAGGCCATGCATGAACCTGTATTATAAAATTGTGTAATACGAATTTTTAGTTGACAGGATGTCACTGGAATACCCAGGGACGTGTAGCTAATATACGTCCTTGGAATACCTAACTGAATGTGTCGCTCTGACACGACATCTATCAATAATTCTGACATACCTATTATCAATTCGAGAGGAAGCCAAAATATATATATATAATAAGATAACGTAAATAAAATTTAAAAAGAAAAAAAACCTATAAATTTTTCACCGAACATACCAGATAGAGTCACACATTTAACTGTAAAGCTAAGTGTCTTTATAAGTGACCGTTCCGAATTATTCCCGTATCAATTTGATACAATTTAAAGATTAGTTAAAAAAACCCACTTTTAATCAAAAAATTGAGATGTCCGATATTTCGATATTTACATATCTATAACCTGGGAATATTATACTATATCAACATATTATGTCCCAGCTAAAACCTCTTCCTAACATTGCTCCTTGTCAATAGCCGTTAAATATCATAATTAAAAAAATGTTATTTTATATTGTATAACTTTATTACTTGAAAAATTATCTTGTCTAAATACGGAACTATTCTTTATACAAATCAATGCACTTTATATAAAAGAGGCATACTAATGAATCTTCTGTAAATCAGTGATTGTTACAAGAACACTGCATTTGTCTTTCTTATAATTGAAACTGTTCTTCCTCATCAAATCTATATTTTTTTTATTCAACGAGATCTTATCATATAAGGATTTGATAAATATAGCTATCAGAACTGCTAGGTTATTTTGTTATTAAAAAAAGGATAATTACCATCGAATCTCCCTCGAAACAATATTGTGCTTGCTATAGATGCAACTATTTGCTGTTAGTTTAAGGTTGTACAACCATGTCTGATACAATTCTTTCTTTTTTTGTGGGATTGGGAAAACTGTGTAGACTTTTGTCATAACCTGTCTGACAGAACAACCGTATGCTTGACAAGACATTTTGACACTGAATAACCGTCTAAGGTAATCCCCAATTGATGATTGGAGTTTTTAGCCCACGGTAGGTAAATCCCCGATTCTTTTTGTTCTTTGTGGTTTATAGATATCACGTGACTTTTTAGATCGAACATGCCGACAAGATGGCGATATGTCGAGAACTGATAGTGAATTTCAAAAATTGATTTTGATCTCTTTACATAGAGAATAAAAGTTTTTTATTTATGAACATGTGGTTTTTTATGCTTAAAGAACAAAATATCAATTTTTCATTTTTTTGCGGAGTTTCCCTAAAGTTAATTTTGTAATGACGAATTGATAAAATACTTAAATTTTCTTTAGGTCAACCTGTCTTTCACATGATTATCATGGTTTAAGAATTTGATGAAAATAAGTTTTTCATCCCTTTGTCGACACTTTTTGTAGATAATTAGCTAATATTTGGTATGTTAATATGCATATATATTGGCTCATATAAATGTAAATTTTATTATGCTTGACCCGATTTCAAATATTGTATGAACTGCATAATGGGTATTTGAATGTGTAATGAGTAATTACAGATAACAAGGGAATTTTTTTCTTGTTGACTATCTTTTGCCTTAAATATAGAAAATTTGAAGAAAAGTATTGTTTTTTGTTTCATTTTCAGCCTTCATCATATATGGTTATATTCTTTTCAAGTACTTATATAAGGATTAGTTTCAGATCATTTTAATATAAGCCGTTAAGGCTTAAGTGTGATTGATGGCCTCTGATCAATTTACAGATTACATTGGATACATGAAACACTGAAAATTTCTGAATTTAGAAATTGTCTAGTTTGATGAGAGCAGAATCACTCCGTATGAAATCAATTATAGTAATTCATATACAGTTGAACCTCGTTGTGTCGAACTCGGTTGTGTCGAAACCTCTGTGAGTCTAAGTAATTTCTCAGTCCCGGTAAAATTCCCATTTGATCAATGCATAATTACCTCTGATGAGTCGAACTTGGTTGATTCGAATACTCGGTTAAGTCAAGTAAATTTTATAGTCCCATCGATGTAAAATTAATGTAAATTGACAACGATGTCTCGAAGTTCGAAAGTAAGAATTTTCGAAAGATGCAGACTTAATGATAAAAATTCAAATAGGATGTATTTCTTATGTAACCTAATCATTTTCAAAAGAGATTAAAGCTGAGTAAACACACTTGTTGTATAACAGTTATAATGACATGTTTATGGTGACCGGTAATTAACACCTTTGTTGATCGTCCAAGCGGAACATTTGTGTGTTGAACATATTTCATTGGACATAAAAACGAAACGAATTTAAATGTTGGGTCATTTAAATTCGTTTCGTTTTTATGTCCATTGAGATTATATAAATCGTTAGAATTAAAATTCATCAATAACAATAAAATAAAGGATTAAGACAATTATGATCAATTCATAATAATTTAATGTAAAGCAGACGATCTCATCATAGACTGTTCAGAACTTGTTTCGTACCGTGAGTGATTTCATAATTTATAGTGACTGACCTTTTTAAATATTTGTGTATACTATTGATTTTATTTGTGCATGATTTGTATTTGTAATTGTGTGTTTAATTGTTACTAGTATGAGGGACCAAAAAATATGGAGATTGAATACACAATCATAAAGTGTCGTATCGAAAAATCACACTGTTCAAAGTATCTAGTTTAAACATATCTTATACCGTATTTCATGCATTCCAAATTTATGACGACACACTCGACCTCAGATGAGTCGAACCTCGGAAAAGTCGAATACTTTGGTCCGGTCCCTTCAACTCGACATAAAGAGGTTCGACTTTAGCTGAAATTGGCATATGAAGATGTTTTCAAAGTATTAGCTTGTACCAAATTTCCATCATTATTTTATCATATATATCATAGGATAATAATTTAATGTCATATGTTGATATGAATTGTCCATATTTCAAGATATTTTGTCAGCTTCTTATTTCAATTGCAAATTTGTGATTTTTTTAAAGCAAGGAAGAACACAAACAATGTGAAAAATAATGTTGATTGATTAGGTAGGCAGAGCTAATAATTCTATAAGCTTTCATACAGCATGGGTTGTTTTCATACGAAATGAAAGTATATGATGGAATAAATAATTCGTCTTTCGGATAATAAAAGATCAGCATTTATATGAATTGAACACTTCCTGTAAATTTTACAAAATGCACAAACAACAAAGAACAACATGTGAACTAGGGAGCTGTATTAGCTTAAATTATGCTTGGATTAAACTTCTTGCTTAATGATCTCTTTTCCCAAAATTATGATGTTATTTTAAGTTTTGGGGATATATGTTATTTTATCAAATCAGGACATAAGACATATAAAAACAGACATCAATGGGACATCAAGAACAGATTAACAAATAGCATGACCTTTTTTCAACAAATATTCCAATACATTTTGTAATGAGATTTATTATTTCTCTGAGAAGTCATAATTGACATTTATGTATTGAAAATTCCTTCATTTGGCAATAACAAAAATTGAAGTTTATAAAAACAAAAGAAATATACTATTTTCAATTATAGGGGAAGAATAATGGATCATATCATATATAGAAATAAGAAGATGTGCAATGAGTGCCAATGAGACAACTATCCATCCAAGTTACAATGTGTGAAAAGTAAACAATTATAGGTCAAAGATCGACCTTCAACATGGAGCCTTGGCTCACATCGAACACCAAGCTATAAAGGGCCTCAAAATGACAGTGTAAAACAATTCAAACAGGAAAACCAACGTTCTAATCTATATACAAAAAATATAAAGATGTCTTTTATATATATCTCATAGAAAAAGTTATTATTGTTATATAGGAAGATGCTTCTTAGACAACACAAGACACAGATGATGGCAAAGTCCAGAAGAATTTTAGAAGAACTGGTATTAAGAATTATTTGTATAAAAAAAATATATATATATACGCAATCATAGGTTTGAACGTCGTTTTCAATTTAGGCTTGTTTATATTTTATCGTTTGGGCTTGTATTATATTTTCCTTCGGGTTTATATGATCCGTTCATCCTATTTCGACTCTTTAAAATTCAAGAGTCTATCCTAAATTGAGGTAAATTTTATGGCCTTCCAAATACTGTTTCAATCCCTAACATCACTGAAGAGACATTAATTGTCGAAATCCGGATATGGTGTACTAATTTTTGCACCTTTTGTTTGCGGTATACCATCTATTCCGCAAGTTTATTGTTTTCTGTTTGGTATTAGATTAATAATTTTTAAAGATCCATTTTGTTACATCTTGTGATCCGTTTATTTGGCAATCGCCAATGGCAGTCAGCAGGGTTTAAGAACATCAGTTGTTCGACCTGTTAGTCAAATGCGTTTTGTTAAAATATACTTTTTCACTTTTTTTGGTCTTTTGGAAAATGTTGTTTGTGCTGTATTTAGACCCCTCTACCAAGAAATTTGTTTTGCATGCACACATATAAAAATTGCGTGGAGGATAGGAATCACCCTGTCTGTTCATCAGTCATCCATTGGCTGTCAGTCTCTCTGTCTGTCCATGTGCCTTGTAACTGTACCTATTCCTAAATGGCAAGTCAGATATTGTAAAAACTGCACACAGTTGTAGAACACTACTTGAGGATTATAAGTTAAAGGAGAAAGAATTAAGGTTAATTACTTTAATACCAAAATATGTGGTTATAGGATCTAGTGAGAACAACTCCTTCTAAACAGGTAGACAGATAATGGTGAAATATTTTCTCTGTCCTACATGTTAAATGGGACTCACAGAAATGGGACTTACAGAAAACTGTAAAATAGTTTTTTCTCTGCTTCATTTTTGTGTAAATTTTTTCGACTTGGTCATTTATATCTTGAATATACTAATAGTATTGTTGGGTAGGTTATCCTTATTTGAACTCACTAAGTTCCAGTTTTTACTCCCATCCCTGTCCTACCCTTGCCTTGAATGTAGGGTATAGGGTATTTATATATATTTGGTTTGGTATTAAATTAATAATTAAGATCCATTTTATTACATCTAGTGATCCGTTTATTTGACAATCGCCATGGCAGTCAGAGAGTTTAAGAACATCTGTTGTTCGACCTGCTAGTCAAATGCGTTTTGTTAAAATATACTTTTTCACTTTTTTGGTCTTTTGGAAAATGTTGTTTGTGCTGTATTTAGACCCCTCTACCAAGAAATTTGTTTTGTATGCACACATATAAAAATTGCAGATTTTATCCAACGCATTGATAGGTTTGAAAGTTATTTTCAATTTAGACTTGATTATATTTTTTTGTTTGGGCTTGTATTATATTTGCCTTTGGGTTTATATAATCCGTTCATCCTATTTCGACTCTTCAAAGTTCAAGAGTCAATCCTAAATTGAGTGAAATTATATGGCCTTCCAAATACCGTTTCAATTCCTAACATCACTGAAGAGACATTAATTTTTGGAATCCGCATATGGTGTACCAATTTTTGCACCTTATGTTTGCGGTGTACCATCTTTTCCGCAAGTTTATTGTTTTCTGTTTGGTATTAAATTAATAATTAAGATCCATTTTGTTACATCTGGTGATCCATTTATTTGGCAATTGCCATGGCAGTCAGCAGGGTTTAAGAACATCTGTTGTTAGACCTGCTAGTCAAATGCGTTTTGTTCAAATATTTTTTTTCACTTTTTTGGTCTTTTGGAAAATGTTGTTTGTGCTGTATTTAGACCCCTCTACCAAGAAATTTGTTTTGCATGCACACATATAAAAATTGCGGTTTTTATCCAACGCAATCATAGGTTTGAACGTTTTCAATTTAGACATATATGTATGAACGCCTAAAAAGTGTACAAAACAACACCAATATTAAACAAAGGAAACATTAAATATAATTATCTATAAATATATTGGATAACAGATATCTTTTATCAGTATGATTATGATGTAAAATGAATCATATCAATCTATTCTGGTTTAACTATTACAATCTTGAAATTTATACTATTAAAACCGAACACAACAACGCTTGTACAATTCTAAAAATTCAAAAATGACTTTAGTGAGGTATTTACAACAGAGACTGCATAGATATGCTACTAACAAAAATAGTAATGTGCGATATGAACTGGTACATTTTTAAAATTTCACAGGTGATGAAAGTTAAGATATTAAAACAGAGACTGCGTAGAAATACATTCCCAATGATCAGTACTGACCGATTTGAGCTGGTCTAATACTCAAATTTCAAATTTGACGACGGTAAAGTGATTACAACATAGGCTGTGTATTTACACATCCCAAATTATTTGGGATGTGTAAATACACAGCCTATGTTGTAATCAATTTACCGTCGTCAAATTTTGCTGCATGCATTGAACTTTACATATTCATCGTTCTTCCATGACAAAAGCGATTGAGTTACAGTTCAAATTTATTAACAAATTGTATGTTCATCACATTTTATCATTTAAAGCTTCACATTAAGTCAGTTGTGTTCAAGATCATTTTTGTGTGTTGTATTCCCATTGTTTAAATCCATAGATTATGAAACTTTGCCCACACATTTCATATAGCATCCAGCTGGAAAACATGGAATTTTGAAATACCATTTTATTTCTAGAAATTATATCATCACATCCATAACACAATCTATAGGAAATCCATTTCAGATAGTATCACATTCAAGCAATAATATAACATTACTATGATTCTAAAAGGCCCTGGGAGAACACTGGGGATTAAAATGTCATTAACTGAGTTTATAAATACATTATCCTTATTATGCCCCCGCCGTAGGCAACAGGTGCATTATGTGTTTACCCTTGACTGTCCGTCTTTCCTTCCGTCCCATTTTCGTTTCTGCACTCTAACTTAAGTTTGCCTCCTGCAAATTATATGAAACTCATACACAATGTGAAGAACCAAAACTAGTGGACAGAGATGGAATTTAGGCAGTGAGTCACTTACTATTCTAGAGTTATGCTCCTTTATAACTTGGAAAATTGCAAAGTTTTTTGTTTCCGCACTCTTAAAGTTTTCTTCGTCCAATTTTATGAAACTCATACAAAATGTTGAGAACCACATTACGCTGACAGAGTTAAAATTTGGGTTGTAAGTCAATTACCTTTCTAGAGCCCTTTTTAACTTGGTAAATTGCAAAGCTTGAGCAGGGGCATTCATGTTCTCAGACACATTTTGTCAACATTTATAGGTGCATTAATTAAACTGTTTGTGATTTATATTTAGGAACAAGACAGGCAGATATTAGAAGCTATGGCAGAACAAGAAAAGGAAGATGAAAAAGTACAGACAGCAAGGAAAGAAACAGCCAGAGCAGATGCAGCTTGGATGAAACAGGTTTGTGAGACTGCATATATGTTATATTTATCAAAGTACTGTTAATTTCTTCTTTCCTAAGATATTTTTTTTTATTTCAATGTCTATATACAGTTAACTCTCGTTGTCTGGAACTCGGTTGCAATTTCGAATGAGTGGAAATTTCACCATGGTGCTGAACTTTGAATATATTGCAACTTTTATTTGTCGACATGTTTCGCCGATTAGATTGGCGTCTTCAGGACAAAGTATACAAAATTAGAATCCCTGAAGTACAGGAAAATGGTATCAGTTATGTGACGTCATAATCATGTATTGTCTATTGTTGCATTGCTGTAGGATACTATATGTCATTATGTAATGTTGAACAGAAAAATGAATCAAATATAATACAGTAAAAATGAAATTATTAAAATTCAAAGTTAATCTATTACAGTAAACTCCGGCAAATCGGATACCCAAAATGTCAGCTAAAAAATATCCGATTACCCGATATATTCAATTAGACAATGAATGTATATTCATTGAATATTCTGCAATAATGAGTAGATATAATCCTAAGATGTTACTAACCCTGACAATTGCTAAATATGTGAAAGGGCTGGAGGATTGATGGAGTGATTTTTATCAGTTACATCACCACTATGTTTGTGTAAAAAAATTATCAGCTGATTATGTAATGATTAAATTTGTTTGCAGTTTTTAAATCCTTTATTTATTAAAATAAATCAAATGTCCTGAAATATTTATGTGAATTATTATCTACCATCCATAGTTTGTCTTTATTTGTTTTGTAAGCAAATTAATATCCATTATTTACATTATCACACAGGTAAACTGATTATACCCCACGCAACGAGTTGCGGAGGGTATAATGTTTTTGACCCGTCCGTCTGTCTGTCCGTCCGTCCGTCTGTCCGTCCGTCAGTCCGTCAGTCCGTCAGTCCTGTTTCTTGTCATCGCAACTCCTCTCAAACCACAAAACAGAATTTCACGAAACCTTTTTAGATAATAAGGACATACTATGTAGTTGTGCATATCGACAGGAAATTACGATTCAATTTTTTTCCCAGTAGTTAAGCCCCTTTGAACTTATTTGCCCAATATACTACTGCAACCTTTTGTCATCGCAACTCCTCTCAAACCACACAACAGAATTTCATGAAACCTTTTCAGATAATAAGGACATACTACGTAGATGTGCATATCGACAGGAAATTACAATTCAATTTTTTTCCCAGGAGTTACGCCCCTTTGAACTTATTTGCCCAATATACTACTGCAACCTTTTGTCATCGCAACTCCTCTCAAACCACACAACAGAATTTCATGAAACTGTGTAGATAATAAGGACATACTATGTAGATGTGCATATTGACAGGAAATTATGATTCAATTTTTTTTTCTGATACAATTTTTGTCGAGCCTGCGACTTTTGTCGCAGAAAGCTCGACATAGGGATAGTGATCCGGCGGTGACTACGGCGGCGGTGGCGGCGTTAGCTAACTTCTTAAAAGCTTTATATTTTAGAAGGTGGAAGATCTGGATGCTTCATGCTTTGTATATGGATGCCTCATGTTACGAAGTTTCCGTCAGTCACATGTCCAAAGTCCTTGACCTCATTTTCATGGTTCAGTGACTACTTGAAAAAAAAGTTAAGATTTTTTGTAATGTTAAATTCTCTCTTATTATTAGTAATAGGATAACTATATTTAGTATGTCCGTACCTTGGGAGGTCCTCATGCCCGTCAGACAGTTTTCACTTGACCTCGACCTCATTTCATGGTACAGTGAACAAGGTTAAGTTTTGGTGGTCAAGTCCATATCTCAGATTCTATAAGCAATAGGTCTAGTATATTCGGTGTATAGAAGGACTGTAAGGTGTACGTGTCCAACTGGCAGGTGTCATCTGACCTTGACCTCATTTTCATGGTTCAGTAATTAGTTGTTCAGTTTTTGTGTTTTGGTCTGTTTTTCTTATACTGTATGCAATAGGTCTACTATATTTGGTGTATGGAATGATTGTAAGGTGTACATGTCTAGCTGGCAGGTGTCATCTGACCTTGACCTCATTTTCATGGTTCAGTGGTCAAAGTTAAGTTTTTGAGTTTTGGTCTTTTTTTTTATTACTATATGCAATAGTTCAACTATATTTGGTGTATGGAAATATTTTATGATCTATATGTCAGTCACGCATGTTTTATTTGACCTTGACCTCATTTTCAAGGTTCATTGCTCAGTGTTAAGTTTTTGTGTTTTGGTCTGTTTTTCTTAAACTATAAGCAATAGGTCAACTATATTTGTTGTATGGAAGAATTGTTAGCTGTACATGCCTGCCTAGCATGGTTCATCTGACCTTGACCTCATTTTCATGGTTCATTGGTCAATGTTTAGTTTACTTGGTTAATGTTAAAATTATGTGACAGTTGTAATAAAGCTTTATATTTAGGACTATCAACATAATATCAATGATTAGTAAAGAAGGCGAGACATTTCAGCGTGTGCACTCTTGTTTTTTCTTACACTTATTTTATTTCTCCAATGACAATGTGGGGACATGGGGTATGTGAGCGCGCTCACTAAGGTTCTTTCATTTGGCTATAAATAGATCTAAGCATACCTGTGTAGAATCTCCTAACTAAAATCGTATTTGTTATAATTTTATTTCTTTAAATAATCAAATTTAAATTTATGAAAATAATCATGATTGATAAAATATTATTGCATAAAGTTTACATTTTCTGAAGACTAATTTATATTTAGGTCATAGTTCTAGAGGCTTCCTCACAAATTTGTAAACATCCAAAATGGTTCCATGACATGTGGTTACTTTTGCACATGTGAAAAAAATATATCTGACAAAAGTCAGATTTCTCTTGTCAAAAGGGATTTTATATTTATATTGCAATAAATTATTCAGAAGGAGGTACATTCAGTTTAGATTATATTTCTGATTCTGTGAACATTTAGAGTTAATCAAAATTCTCCAAACAGCAACGTCAACTTGTCAACTGAGTCTTGCATATTTTATAAATAAATTCAAATGGTAAATTCAAACCATTTGAAGTAAAAGGGCATCTAATTCACATGACAAAGGAAGACAATGATTAAAGACAACAATTTATTAAGAAATAGTTTCTTTTATTTAGTAAAAACGAAATCTTCTTGTCTGCAAGATTGTAAATTCGTAACTTCCTGGTCCATTTCCTGTCAGAAAAACATTGAAAATATCCGATTGTGCATGGTTTTGTACAAAATGACCTGAATATTCTTATCCGATTTGCCGATATATTCTTATATCCGATATTCGATTACACGATAAAATTAACATTAAACATATAGGGAAGGGTTTGGTGTTTTGAAATAATATTACAATAGCCGATATATTCGTTTAGCCAATATCCGATTAGGTGGAGTCTACTGTATTGTTAAAATCTTCTGTATCTGGAAAAAAATGTTGTAAACCATTCTGATGGTAAATGTAGAAACAAAATGTGTTGTAATATTACACATTGATTTATTTTACAACACATTTTATTTCTACATTTACCGTCAGAATAGTTTACAACATTTTTTCCAGATACAGAAGATTTTAACAATAATAGAATAACTCTGAATTTCAGGGATTTTAATTTTGTATATTTTGTCCTGAAGACGCCAATCTAATCGGGGAAACATGTCGACAAATAAAAGTTGCAGTTCACTTAAGTGTTGTTGTCAATTTAGTGGTATTTAATATTTTTTATTTGACAACCCTGCATACCATCAGGTATCCACTTAAAGGAACTCTACCAGCACAAAACTTAGGAGGTGTTGGTTTAGCAGTTCTTTATTTTTCATATAAATATATGTATTTCTACTCCTGATGAGTCAAAATTGGATGAGTCCAAACTGGTTGCCTCGAAAAATAAATTTATGGTTCCAAGGTTAACAAAAACATTTAATTTGCATTATTTATGTTGAACCAATACACATATGTCAAAACATGACCTCTTGGATTTATATTCATTGGCAAGTTAATCTGACACTACACCTGTAATTAAATTTCCAATCATTGAACACTATATTGATTTATGACATTCTTTTGCGTGTTTACCTAAGGTTATACTTGATCACCAAAACAGATAATTAGCAGTACATTGTTATAGATTATTCAAAATTATTCAAAATGTTTTATTATCAATTAACCGTAATCATACATAGATGAGCTTGGTTGTGTGTAAAGTGAGGATTAAGTGAGCAACACAAAACTACTTATTAGGTGTCTTTAATCTTTTTTTGAAAAAAGATAGAAATAAAAGAAAATGAAAAAAAAGATAATCAAAAGACTATTCAAACAGATTACATCGATCTCAGACCATAATATCAATCCCCTACCCATATATCCATCTGGATTTATTTAAGCCTAACCAAGCTTAGCAAGAGTTGTATCCCTTTGACTGTGAAACTTCAGTTATTCGTTTGAGGTTAATAGGGGTATCTGGTCCGGCCGACTTGGAGATAATGATAGTTGTCTGTTCACTGCAAATTTTATACTAAAAAAAAATGCATATGTTATATGATATGTCCTGTACAATAATTAAAAAAATCACACACATACAATAATCATTTATTTAAAGCCATTAAAATTCAAAAACAATAAAACGAGAATGATAAGTAATTTTACAATGAATTAGGACTTTTTAATTATGATTATTACTTATCTAAAATGCTTCTTTTAATTTGAAATTTCAAAAAACTTATTAATTAGTTAAATTACAATTCATTTATGGGCTAATTTGGTCACAAATTGTACCTTCTTCTTAGCCATTATTGTAATTTTCATGAAATAATAGTGTATTATGATGTTATTATTTTAAAGTTTGTGTCTTATTTACTGATTTTCTCAATTCTTTTTAAGTTTTCTTTGTGCTAAATGTATTTTTGAAGTTTATAACAAAACATTCAATTGTTTTTCCAAAATCAATCTAAATGCCCTTTTTCTTTGTAACATGCTTTAAAATTTGATGTATCTTATATAGTTCATACTTTTTATAGGTTATTGAAGACCAGATAAAGTTAGAAAAGGCAAGAGAAGCAGAACTTGATATGCTTTATCAGTAAGTTGGACAATCCTTATATTGCCAAAAAATCGTGGACATTTTTTCTTCAGTTACTAATACCTCCAATAGTCATATACTATATGAACTGTGGCCAAAGGAGCTTTCAAAATTGCCTGAATATATGCCTTTTTTCCTCTACTGTTTTAAGTCAACAGAAAGAAAAAATATTATTAAGTTTTTATTTTTATCTTTTGTAAGATTTAGTTATTTTATATACCATCCCTTGTTGAAGCAGATGGTAAATAGTAATTTTACAACTGCTCCTGTTTTTTTGTAACTCGTATCTTGGTTTTTCATGTAAAAGATTTTTAACCAGGCTTTTGGAACAGAAATCTAGTTTATATTGATTAAGGGTTGTAAGGTGGGTGGATGGGCAGGAGGCTCCAGCTGTTTCCATGCTTTCACTTATGAACTGTTCAATTTCCTTATTGGTGTTTTTTTCACTTTTGTTATTCAGGAGTTATGTTCCTTGATTGATTGAAAAATGACACTTTATGTTGTTTCCATGCTTTAACATGATAACCCTTCAACTAGTACTTTACAAATTTTAATATATAGTTCTGATTACAAAAAAGAGATCAAGTTAAATATTGACGATTTTTTTGTCTCGCCTTGACGGAGTCAAAAAGCGAGACATAGGTATGCTGTTTCCGGCGACGGCGATGGCGTCACCAATGTATTAGTTTATGATTAGGTCTAGTTCATGGTGAACCACTAGTGGTAGGTCAATGATATTTGGTATGCAGTTGTATTAGCATTGGCACATCTCATTACCATGGAGATTATTTGGCCCCGCCCCCTCAGTCAAGGTCTATTGACTTTGAAACTTTTCATAGTTTACATGTATTATTTTGTGATTAGGTCAATTTATGGGGAACCACTAGTGGTAGGTCAATAATATTTGGTATGCAGTTGTATAAGCATTGGCATATCTCATTTCCATGGAGATTATTTGGCTCCGCCCCCTTAGTCATGGTCTATAGACTTTGAAAATTTTGCTAAGTTAACATGTATTAGTTTGTGATTAGGTCAGTTCAAGGGGAACCATTAGTGGTAGGCCAATGTTAATTGGTGTTCAATTGTATAAGCATTAGCACATCTCATTTCCATGGAGAATATTTGGCACCGCCCCCTCAGTCATGGTCTATTTACTTTGAAACTTTTGCTTAGTTTACATGTATTAGTTTGTGATTAGATCAGTTTAAGATGAACTGCTAATGTTAAGTCAATGATATTTGGTATGCAAATTTATTGGCATTTGCAAGTATCGTTTCCATGGAGATTATATAGCCCCACCCTTGATCATGGTTCATTGACTTTTAAACTTTTACATAGTTTACAAGTTAATGTTTGTGTTTAGGTTTGTTTAAAGGGAACGACTTATAATAAGTCAATGGTATTTGGTATGCAGTTGTATTAGCATTGGCACATCTCATTCCATGGAGATTGTTTAGCCATGTACCTTCAGTCATGGTTCATCGACTTTAAATATTTGCATAACTTACATGTTAAAGTATTGCTATTTTAATTTCAACATTTGCATTATCAAAATTACAAAAAGGCGAGACATATCTCTGTGATAACAGTTTTATCTTTCTGTAGTTCTGGATTTATGGTTCTTGATTGATAGGAAAATGGTACCGGTACTTGTATTACTTTTTGTGCGATAACTTCAGTACCATTTAACACATGCTTTCAAATTTTAATATGTTGTTACTGATCCAATAATGAAGGTCAATTATGATGATTATGATTTTCAATTTTATTGTTCAGGAGTTATAATCCTTGATTGATTGGAAACTACACTTCATTTGGTTTCTGTGCATAAACTTGAGAACTTTTCAACAAATGCTTGCCAAATTTTAAAGGTCAAGTTCCCTCTTCAAGATTTTCACTATTTTTTTTCAGTTTTATGATCGTTCAATGATTTCTGTGTTATCAATTGTGAACCGTTCAAGCAATTATTTTACAAATTTCTGTGGATGTACATCTACAGAAAACCTGGTTTGCTTATGTTTGACATCTCATTTCTTTTTGGGGTTTATTTTGGCATAACATGGACTCATTCATATATCCTAACACTACTGTACACATGTATCTGCTTCTCCCAAACTTCCTTATAAAAAATAAGGAAACTTTTTTAAGAATCTCCACAATGTGACACATACATGTATGTGTACTGCCTAATTTGATTGTTTTATATGAATTATATTTAGAGTTTCCCTTATTAATGGACTTTCCAAAAGGAGCATTGATCCCAGTACCTTTAGATTTTTGTTAAATGTTAATTTTGTTTGAATTTTTTATCCAGGGTTTTAGGAAGATGTATCTCTGTTACAAATTGGTTTATCAAGGTTCCAGTCTTGATAATTTTTCTTGTACATGGGCAATTTTGAGAACATTTTATGATAATTCAAGTTTGCATTATTGACTTTCGTTATATTTTTAAGCAATGTTTGGCTCTTAAATGATAATTTTCCTTCTAATATTTAAAAAAAATTTTTTAAATTGTCTGTCCAGATTTATGGGACTTACTTGTCAAAATAAAGACAATTTGGGATGTGTCTTGGACAGGGACAAGTTTTTCATCATATTCCTGTCTTGCAAGATGGAAAACAAAATTTTGTAGAATTTTTTTCATATAGTTTTTGATTTATGGGACCTAAATGGAATAAATAACAGGGAGGATGCTATCATAAAGTTTGTGGCACAGCTGTTTATCATACTGAAATGTCATTCTTCATTTCTTGCTCTTAAAATACATTTTTGTACATATGTAACATAAAATTAAAAACAACTTTGACTTTCTTTTACCATTTTATTGGGTTTGGGTAATAGATATTATTTTAATAATCTGACTGTCAAAATGTATAGAATATGTAAAGATATTTTCTTAATGAAAAATTCTCCTAAATGAACTAAGTGATCAACAAACCAAATTACTGGTTTTTTAGATCTATTCAGCAGGTAAAAAGTTTAGAATGTTTTTGAACAATTTTAATATTTTGGCTTAACAATAAAAAAGATTTCAAAAGTAAATAAGGCATCCAGTAGAATGGTAGATTATAAGTCCCCTAATATATTAACTTCTTAATCTTCACAGAGAAGAAGCAGCTAGAATGTGGCACAAAAGAGAAGCTGAATGGGAGAAAGAACGAGCAGCTCGGGCAAGACTGATGCATGAAGTAAGTACTATACATTTAAAGAAATGGATAAAATTATTTCCCCATGTAACTAAATTGTAAAAAAAACCACTAGATTAAAAAAATATGGAATGGTGGTAGATTTACTGCTTATATTAATATTTTGGAAAGTCATTGCTCCAAGACTTTCAACAATGAGAAAACATCTTAACCTTCAATATTTTACTAGATACACATAAACAATAAATATTTTAAATCCTGCTTATGATGAAACCTCTTATAAAAGGTGATGGATGACAGACAAAGGCAACTGGAAGATAGAATGGAACAAAACCGAATAGATCAGGAAGAGTCTTTAAAACAGAGAGAGCTGTTAATTCGTGAGATGGAAATAGCACAACAAATGACACACAGGGAGAAAGAGGAGACAGATGCACAAAAAGAGGCCCTAAAATTAAATTTGAAAGAACAGGTATATAATTTAAAATTTACAATTTAGAATTGTTTCTGTCATAAAAGGTTGGGTCAGATCAAACATCTGTTTTTAAGTTACCTAAACCTTGTAAACACAACACAAAGCTAGGGCTGGCACAAAATGAATTCTAAAAAGAAGTGCATCTACCTTTTTTATTTATAAAGAGGTAAAACAAAAAAATGAAAGTAATTAACACTTTATAGTTTGATTTGCCCAAAGAGCTTTTCCCGATATACCTTCATCAGGAACGCTCAAAGCTGAATATTTGAAAGCCAAGGATGTATAAGAACCAAAAAGTTTGAAGAGCTATATTACTAAAAAGCAAATAAAGGTAAAATTGAGAATGAGAGCTATGAGAAATATGTATACCGGTACTTAAAATTGAGTCACCATCAAAGTAATCTTCTTTCTTCAACAAGACACCACATAAGACTAAAACCATAAACAATTATTACATTACTAGAAAGCCATTGTTGGTTATAAAATGGCTTTATAATAGAACAATTATAATATTTGGGCCAAGGTACTTACTTAGTAGTGGCAAAATTAAAAGGATACAAAACATTAAAATAAAATAAAATACTTGTGTTTCTGGTTTCCATACCTACCCTTTGTTTTATGCTTCAAAATGGATATTCTAAAGTTTATATTGGCACTTTGGTAGTGAATCATGACAAAATTGCAGGTAGTTCCCCATTTACTCAGGGTAAAATTAAAAAAAAATGTCTACCTAACTGCTCTATTTTTTTTTATATATATATAGATGATAAACCCTTAAAACCCACATTGTTTTGGTCTCATTAGTAAAGAATATTGGTTCTCATTAAAAACAAGCAAACATTTTATGCACTATTTAAAAACTCTGATGAATTAGATGTGATGATACTGAAACACTGTCTGTTTCTTGACTGTGTTTTACAGTGATTCAAATGAGGATAGAAACATAAATGTTAGTAAACATTGCTGATAATCCAATACATTTGTCTTTGCCATATTTCAGTTTTGTTGTTTATAAATTGGACAAATTTGATTTTGGTTAACAGGTGACAGCACGTCGTGAACAAGAAGAGAGAGCTAAACAGAGGGACGCTTTAGAATATAATGAAGATCAAAAAGGGGATGAAGAATATGATGATTTCTTACGACAAGAAACAGAAAGGATGAGGCTAAAAGGATTTACACCTAGAGTAAGTTTGACATATTTACATTATAGGGCGATTGACACATCTTTATCAAACTTTACACTATGTTTGGTTCCATGAATACAAACTCCCTTTTCAAGATAAAGCATTTAAAATTGGTTATCCCTGAGAAATGACTCTTATCTATATAAAAATCAACAATGGCCTGTATGTCATACAAATACATGAAAATTTAACAAAGCAATTTGTTCTATATTATTAGTATAAAGATAAATTCTATTTTGTTTGGTGTTTTTCTTTTTAGTGAAACATTTTATTATTTTTGTCTCACTCTATAATATACATGTACTATATAGTATACTATTGATATATGTTATGTTGCTACATTAACTTGTGCCAAAAGAGAAGATAAATACAAGATGGCTACCACATACTTTTTCAAACACCTGTGACAATTCAACTTGTGTAATTACTAAAAAAAGCACCTAATATTTTGTGATATTTTCTTTGATCTTTTGTCTTTTTCGCTTGCCTTAAACATCATTGTGATTGAATCATCAAGTTTTCTTATGAATTTTAACAATCCTTGACTAACTCTTTTGAAACTTGAACACAATTTCCTTGACTTTGAAATACAGGTCAAGCTAGATTTTGATGGTTTTGACATTAACAGTTCAAGAATTTTGCCCATCATGCCCATAGTTGCTTTAAAAATTGGTATTTCTTTGGTTTCTGGATAATAATTAAAGTACCACTGGAACACAACGTCATGAATCATAAAATGAGGTCAAGTTTGATTTTGATTTTTTTAATATTTACCGTTCTAGAGCTATTCCAAAAAGTTTCGGAAAAAATTTTGTTTCCAGGTGATATAATTGCAGAACCGTTGCTCATTTGGTCTGCAAATTGTCAAAAAAATATTATGAGGACTATTAAGAGCTAAGGTTCTGTAGCACCAGGTGATAATGAAAGTTCTATTTTACAAAATCTATTTAGATTTAACAGGATGCTATGAAACATTACATACATGTCACATTCAATTTAAATTTGGATTTCACATTGACCGTTTAATATTTATTCTGCAAGGTGGAGGTATAGAGCTTTAGATCACTTTATTCTGGTATTTCAGTTGTGATCGAGTCTTTTGGTTAAATACATCACCACAGTTAAAGGACATGCAGACAGAAAGAGGAGAAAATGTTTTTTTTTTATGGCACCCAATAAGAATTGCCTTAAACAATTTACAGGTAATATGATGAAATCAATTGATTTTTTAACCTGTTCCTTTTTCTTTTTAGCAACATGGAAGAAAACAGGCATGGTCATGAAAGATGTAAAAGCCTAGACTCTACTAAATTATTTTATATAACAATTGAAAATGTCAGTTCATTGTGGTTGAGGGCTCATAGATTCTACAGATCTCAACAATTCAGAAGAAATGGCGGATGACCATAATTATTGTTATCAACATGTCATTATATGTAACATTTGTGAATTATTAGATCAATCAAAAAAATAACTCTGAAAAGAGTAATTTTGAAATGTCTCTCCTCATACAATTTTTAGTTCCTCAATTTTATGCACCATGCACCATTATGTATTACTGTAAACCAACTTATTTTCGCGGATACTTTATTTCGCATTTAGCCCTTATTAGCCCATTTCGTGGAGATTTAATTTCGCGATTTTGAAATTTGCTTGATGTTATATAAGGAAACTTCCAAGTTTTACATATTTGCTTTATTTTACTACTCGCGAAAGTCGCGAAAATAAATCAATCGCAAAAATTAGTTGGTTTACAGTATATACCAATACAAAAAATTAAACCTACTTCCATATTTGTATTGTTTAAACAGTAAATTTTACCAGAGACAGTATTAGGGCTGTTCCAAAATTTATTCAGTGAGAGGGGGATGGGAGCCACTCATTAAATGTACATATGGGTTGCATTTTCTTGGAATATTGTTAGAATTACAAATACAAATGTAAAATGAAAAATTTTGTTTTATAGGTGGTCAGGGTCTTAAAAAAGTGCCTCCCATGCATTTAATTATGGAATAGCCCTTACTATGAAAATGTGTCCACAAAATATAAATATTATGCTCATATGAATGGAAAATTTTAAAAGTAGAAAATTTATACACAGTTGTTGATTTTTCTTCTTTTTTTTCATTATTTAACAGCAAAAAAATGTAGATTTAAAAATAATGTAATTTATTGTCTTGCCTGAGACGAAAGTAGCAGAATGCTAGACATACTATCCAGTGGCAGCCTGAACTATTTGTATAAAGCTTTATATTTCAAAAGGTAGAAGACCTGAATGCTTTATACCTTGTATGCAGATACCTTATGTTTCAAAGTTTCCGTCTTCCATATGTCCATTGTCTTTGACCTCATTTTCATTTTCTTAGATACAATAAGCAATAGATCAGCTGTATCTTTTGTATGGAATTATTGTAAGGTGTACATGTCTATCTGGCAGGGTACATCTGACCTTGACCTCATTTTTAAGTTCATTGGTCAATTTTCTTTTTTCGTAATTTTGCCCCCACCATAGCGGCGGGGGCATTAAGTTTTACCCTCGTCTGTCTGTACATCCGTCTGTACGTCCCAAAGTTGGTTTCCGTTCTCTAACTTTAGTTTGCCTCAAGAAAATGTTATGAAACTTATACATAATGCTTATTACCACAAAATACAGATCTAGTTTGAATTTTGGTGGCGTCATTTTAATCGTTCTAGAGTTATGCCCCTTTACAAATGGAAAAATTGCTGAATTTTTGTTTCCGTTCTCTAACTTAAGTTTGCCTCAACCAAATTTTATAGAAACTTATACGCAATACTTATTACCACAAAACTCAGATCAAGGTCAAATTCTTAGTGTTTTTGCCAATTATCTTGAGGCCTATAGTAGATACACACTTTTAGTGGCAAAAATGATCAGCAAGACAAGATCTACAAATAAGTTAACATGCCCAAAATTGTCAGACTCCTTATTAGAGTTATTGCCCTTTATTGATGATATTTACCATTTTTTTTGCATCTTGGCCTAATATCTTAAAAACTATAATAGATAGATTGAAACTTTAAAAATGAAATATATACAAGAAGACAAAATCTATTAAACTGCTTCGCTGAGCGCAGCTGGATACGCCCGCAGAGGTCCAACCCTGAACAGTTGGGGCAAAAAAAGGACACACTATTCAAGCTTGATACAGGTCTGAATTTGGATTGTAATTAAATATTTGACATATTATAGGTTTCTAAATAAATGTAGTCAAAGAACTTGAAATTGGTTATATGAATTGAATTTATATTCAATAAAGATTTCTTGCTGTTGTGCAATACACTGTGCTGTTGCGCAATACATAGTAAATCTGTTGTCAGACTATAAACAAATAAAGTTCAATTAATTCTCAATGTCATGTTAGAAATTTATGAAAATGTAAAGGGAGCTTACATCAATAGATATAAACAATTCACCAAAGTTTCATGAGAATTGCTGACAGCATTTTTGAGTTATGTCCAAAAACTGGAAAATCTCCCCTTTTTTAATGAATAAAATCCCACAACTCAGAAATGATAAATGAAAAATTTATAAAATTCTAAACGGAGCTTACATCAATAGATATAAACAATTCACCAAAGTTTCATAAGAACTGCTGAAGTTATTGTCCGAAAACTGGAAAATCCCCCCTTTTTTAATGAATAAAACCCCATAACTCAGAAATGTTAAATGAAAAATTTATAAAATTCTAAACGGAGCTTACATCAATAGATATAAACAATTCACCAAAGTTTCATAAGAACTGCTGAAAGCATTTTTGATTTTTTGTCCGCAAAACTGGAAAATCCCATTTTTTTATGAATAAAACCCTGTAACTCGGAAATGTAAAATCTAAAATATATAAAAATTGAAAGGGAGCTCATATCAATAGATATAAACAATTCACCACAATTTCTTGCAAGTTGGTGAAAGCATTCTTGAGTTATTGTCCGAAAACTGGAAAATCCCCCTGTTTTTTATGAATAAAACCCCATAACTCGGAAACGTATAATCTAAAATTTATAAAAATCGAAAGGGAGCTCATGTCAATAGATATAAACAATTCACCACAATTTCTTGCAAGTTGCTGAAAGCATTCTGAAAATTTCTCGCTGCATTGAAGACCTGTTGGTGGCCTTCTGCTGTTGTCTGTTCTGTGGTCGGGTTGTTGTCTCTTTGACACATTCCCCATTTCCATTCTCAATTTTATTGAGTTATTGTCCGAAAACTGGAAAATCCCCCTTTTTTAATGAATAAAACCCCATAACATCGGAAATGTAAAATCTAAAATTTAAAAAACCAAAAGGGAGCTCACGTCAATAGATATAAACAATTCACCAAAGTTTTATGCAAATTGGTTAAAGCGTTTTTGAGTAAATGTCCGACATGTTGACGACGGATGGACAGACGGACGGACAGAGGTATAATTTTTGGTCCTCAATGCTCTTCAACTTCGTACTTTATTTGGCCTTTTAAATATTTTTTGAATCGAGCGTCACTGATGAGTCTTTTGTAGACGAAAAGCGCGTCTAGCGCAAGTGTAAAATTTTAGTCCTGGTATCTATGATGAGTTTATTTACAACCACTGGGTCGATGCCACTGCTGGTGGAGATTTATTTCCCCGAGGGTATCACCAGCCCAGTAGTCAGGACTTCTGTGTTGACTTGAGTTATCATTGATATGTTCATAATAATAAATTAACTGTTAACAAAACTTTGAATTTCTGAAATACTAAGGCTTTTCTACTTCAGGAATAGATTACCTTAGCTGTATTTGGCAAAACTTTTAGGAATTTTTGGTCCTCAATGCTCTTCAGCTTCGTACTTTATTTGGCCTTTTAAATATTTTTTGATTCGAGCATCACTGATGAGTCTTTCTCTTAATTCTTACACGATTTATCCTTTTCCTGACCCAGTGATTATTTTTTATTTAATCACGTGTAGTTCGTTTGATCTCAGTTCTTCATTGGTCAAAATTCGATTATGGCGTCAAATTTTCTTGCGTTCCTCTGAATTTCCTATTGTGACGTCATATAAAAGGCGACCATGTCTGATGACATCACATTGAAAGAACAACTCTTTATGCAGATTGTTCGAACATAAGGATTGAGTTTGTTTGCATAACGTTTAAAAATCATTAGAGAAAGAGAAAGATTCCACCACCAAATCTTGTGCAATACGATATTTATCCACTCTCGACAGTTAAATTTTCAATATTTAAAACGCTCAACGAGCCTCACTTTTTAAATTTTAGAATTTAAATGTCTCTAGAGGATAAATCTTGTATCACACTCAATACAGTGGTAGAATCTATATGTATAGTAGCAGATAACTCAGTACACATTTTGATATTCCACTGATGGAGATAAAAGTGGGTTGAGCATGAAAAATCTCGTTTTTTCCTAGAAGGAATTTGGTGTTGATTTTGATATCACTTTGAAATTCAATCACAATTTATCTAGGCTCATTAGACTTGATTTAGAGCCTTTTCACAAATTTTCACTGAAGACTCTGTTAATCTTTACATCTGAAATCTCCTTTTATTCATACATTTGAGTTTAATGTTTTTTATCTGATTATGGCTGTTTAAAATTTAATGTAAATAATGTTTTTCATCCTTTTGCACACTATGAGCTAATGTTTTAGATATAAATGTGGTAATGAAAGTTGATTGTCATGTTTCTTTGTGGTAGAGAACTTTTTAGCCCCACTGTCTTGAAAAATCACCAGAGCTAGTGTTACAACAGCATCCATCGCCTGTAAATTATTCACAGTTTTATCCTATCAGGGCCAATTCTAACCAAAATTGGCCTGAATGTTGACTGAAACTCACACTCTCATTTGGTTCTGATCAAATAAAAAATTGGCTTTGATTATGATTGGCCAATACCAAAGATCTTCTCCTCTGAATCTCTTTTCTAAATGTTTTGAACTTTAGAATGATTAGGTGGCAAAAAGGCCAGACACAGCATAGATTTCTGACACAGAATGAATGTGGTCTATGAACTTTAAATCTGAAATTGGACATTTCTCTATTATATTCCAATATCCAAAATCTAAATACATGGTTAGATTCAGCATATCAAAGAACTTCAAGAATTTTTGATGAAATCAAACCTAGTTTAATTTTGAACCCTTTGGACCTCAATGTGGACCAATTTGATTATTGGGCCCAAAATCCAAAATCTAAACACAGTTAGATTCATCAATTCAAAGAACCCCATATTTTCAATTTTTGTTGAAATCAAACAAATTTTAATTTTGGACCCTGATTTGAAACTTCTTCAAAACTGGGCCCAAAATAAAAAATCTAACAATTTCAATTTTTGTTGAAATCAAACAAATTTAATTTTGGAACCTTTGGACCTTAATGTGGACCAATTTGAAAGCCAGGCCCTAATTTATAAATCTAAATACACGGTTAGATTCAGCATATCAAAGAACCAACTAATTCAATTTTTCGATGAAATGAAACAAAGTAATTTTGGCCCCTTTGGATCACAATGTGGACTAATTTAAAAACGGGGGCCCAAAATCCGAAATCTAAACTCACAGTTAGATTCAGTATATTAGAAAATCACAAAAACTCTATACTTTGAATCAAACCCCATTGAAATTGGTCAAGAAATAAGCCATTTATATACAGTTGTAGAAAAGTATTGTTTTTGGTCCCCTTTTCCATACAGTTAAGGCCACAACCCCCAAAATCAATCCCAACCTTCCTTCTTTGGTATTGAACCTTGTACAATTTCTTACAGATCTATACACTTATACTTAAGTTATTGTCAGGAAACCATAAAATCCTTGTTTTTTGCACCGTAACTTCTCAATGGTTTGGGCCATAACCCCCAAAATCAATCCCAACCTTCCTTTTAAGGTATGGAACCTTGTGGTACAATTTCATAGCGATCCATACACTTATACACAAGTTATTGTCCTGAAACAAGAAAAATACTTGTTTTGGTCCCTTTTTTGCCCCCAATTCCAAAAAAATTAGGACATTAACCCCCAAAATCAATCTCAGCCTTGTGGTACAATTTCATAGAGATCCATACACTTATACTGAAGTTATTGTCTGGAAGGCAAATGTCTTTGGGCAACAACGATGACATCATACAATTATTCGGTTGAATAAAAATGTTTGCAATATTATTAATTAGATCTTGTATTTTTACCAGCAATCAGTGATTTACAATAATAAATGCATGCATTCGTTTCTGAATTTACAGTATAGTAAAGACACTTGTCTATCATGTCTACAAGTATTGAAAATCATATTTTGACATGGTGTCTTACTGATGCATTCCAACATATCCTTTTACGTTTTTTCATGTGTTCATGGTCTAAAGAATTTAACACAATATTACATAAGACTTTTATTTTGGCAGCATAATTATCATGTGACTGCTGCATACAGATAATAGTTCATCATTGTATTGAATAAATTCATTAACAAGATATAACATTTTCCCATCATAATATTTCAACAAGGAGGTACATCTAAATCCTTGTGTCAGGAAGGTACATCTATCAATTGTTGACCAAAAAAATAAAAACTGACAAAATATGAATTCAAAACAAAAAAAGACAAAAGAATTTCAACATATTTAAAACTTAAATATAACATTCATTTTGTTGCATTGTTTCTGTTTACTGCTGATAAGAATGGAAATTTGTTGCATTTATTCAATAAATTTCTGACAGTAAAGAAAAGAAGACTGAAAGACACCTTATTGATTTGAGTTTGTGCTTGTCCCAAACCCTTACAACTGTATAAACTTGTAAAGACTAACATGGAGTTAAATCCTTGTATAAAAAGTCACAATATCCCCTCCCTCCCTTCCAACAAAGAACATCTGAACTTTTATGCTTTTCAAGAATGTAAAGTTTTTATAAGGTCATACAAACTACTGATCAAGAAGTCAGTATTCCTGCTTGCATGTACATGATCATAAAGACTGAATATGTTAATTCACATCAAACATGAAACATGGTTCAGTATACAAATATTGACTCTTCCAGCATACTGGTAGAACTTATGTTCTCTAAATCATTAAACAAATGGTGACATGCTTGAATATGAAATATCATAATGTACAAACTACTACAAATATATGAGCTCAGATGACCTTGTTAGTCAGGAGAGATTGATTCCTGGTCATTTATCATGTTAAATATTCACTTTCTAGACTTAATCTTTTATATCTAGACAATTGTATTAAAAGGAGAAGGGTACAAAATGGAGGTACTTAGTACACATCCTTATTTTTATTCACCATGCATGTTAATCATGTAATCAAAAATTCATTTTTCCTAAATATAACTTGATATCAACAAGAGTGCACACGCTGAAATGTCTCGCCTTCTTTACTAATCATTGATATTATGTTGATAGTCCTAAATATAAAGCTTTATTACAACTGTCACATAAACTTAACATTAACCAAGTAAACTAAACATTGACCAATGAACCATGAAAATGAGGTCAAGGTCAGATGAACCATGCTAGGCAGGCATGTACAGCTAACAATTCTTCCATACAACAAATATAGTTGACCTATTGCTTATAGTTTAAGAAAAACAGACGAAAACACAAAAACTTAACACTGAGCAATGAACCTTGAAAATGAGGTCAAGGTCAAATAAAACCTGCGTGACTGACATATAGATCATAAAATATTTCCATACACCAAATATAGTTGAACTATTGCATATAGTATTAGAAAAAAAGACCAAAACTCAAAAACTTAACTTTGACCACTGAACCATGAAAATGAGGTCAAGGTAAGATGACACCTGCCAGCTAGACATGTACACCTTACAATCATTCCATACACCAAATATAGCTGACCTATTGCATGCAGTATTAGAAAGAAAGACCAAAACTCAAAAACTTAACTTTGACCACTGAACCATGAAAATGAGGTCAAGGTCAGATGACACCTGCCAGCTAGACATGTACACCTTACAATCATTCCATACACCAAATATAGTAGACCTATTGCATACAGTATAAGAAAAACAGACCAAAACACAAAAACTTAACTATAACCACTGAACCATGAAAATGAGGTCAAGGTCAGATGACACCTGCCAGTTGGACATGTACACCTTACAGTCCTTCCATACACCGAATATACTAGACCTATTGCTTATAGTATCTGAGATATGGACTTGACCACGAAAACTTAACCTTGTTCACTGATCCATGAAATGAGGTTGAGGTCAAGTGAAAACTGTCTGACGGGCATGAGGACCTTGCAAGGTACGCACATACCAAATATAGTTATCCTATTACTTATAATAAGAGAGAATTTAACATTACAAAAAATCTGAACTTTTTTTTCAAGTAGTCACTGAACCATGAAAATGAGGTCAAGGACATTGGACATGTGACTGACGGAAACTTCGTAACATGAGGCATCCATATACAAAGTATGAAGCATCCAGGTCTTCCATCTTCTAAAATATAAAGCTTTTAAGAAGTTAGCTAACGCCGCCGCCGCCGGATCGCTATCCCTATGTCGAGCTTTCTGCAACAAAAGTCGCAGGCTCGACAAAAACTGTTAATCAAAAAGAGCCAGCTGTTTCATTAGTAATTATATATACAATCCCTTCATAAGGACTTGTAATTTGATACCTTAAAATCATGTAAATTAAAAACCCATCTATAAAGATTGTTGCTTTACTTTTAAAATGTGTTATAAAAATTGATAAACAAATCTACCAAGTTATGAAATTTAAAGCAATTGAATGAATATGGAAATTATATATATATGTAAACTGATGTTAAAACTACATACTGCTATTGTTAAGTTCCTTGTCAAGACATTTCAATAAATAAAACAAGTACAACTTCCAACATAAAATATAAGAATATTTTTTTGAATAGATTTTTCAGCTTTGGTAGAACTGAAAATAGCATACTTTGTACATCAAAGATTTTTTCTATGTTTTAGCTACATGTAATGTATTTTTATCTCGTGAAACTCTACTATAAAGTGTCAGTTTATACATATTGTACAAACTTTCTTCAAAGCAATTGGCTTGAAGTAATTTTCATAAATATGCTATAAGTTTTTCAAAAGAATGTGTATCCTCATAATTTTCTCAAGCAGCCAGGCAAAAGAATTAGCTTTCAATGTAAAATTCTATCCAAAACCATATACAAATTGAAATAATAAAAAAAAATATATCCTAATAAATTGTTTTAATTTCCGTAACCAATGAAACAGCAGAAAATATTGTAAATAATTTCCCTTATGCATCATTCCTGCAACTGCACTGCATGTACAAGTTTAGACAAATCCTTTGACACTAACATATACTGACTGACAGGTTTCTGTATAATAAATACTACAAAGACAGAAGCTATGTGTATACTGTTAAATAAAGAAGATTACAAACAAAGTCAACCAAAACACATTACAGAAAATGAAAAATAAAAAAATCCATGGAACTGAGTGAACTCAACTGTTGGATGGACGTACTGATCCAGACAATGTAGGTGAAGTATCTGGTGTCTTTTGATGTACTGTACAGAAACTACAGAACTGTTTTCTAAGTTTCTCTCTTAACTCCTCCCTTTGGACCTGAAGATTTTTTTCGTTAGCTTTGAATTGCTTAATTTCTTCTTCTGAAATAAAATCGTCCTCATCTTCTGATGAACATGGTGCCTGTTAAAACATAGAACATAGCAAATTAATAATGTATGTCTCTGCTAATTTATCAAAACTTTGGCAGTGGTCTTAGAAAATCATTCTGTAGGTAAATGGAAAGGCAAAAAAAAAAATAAACACCTGTGCTTCGTGCTCATAGTATATTTTTCCATAAGCAATTATTTGATAAAATTTTCTGAATTAATCATAAACTTTCTATGAAATTTAGTCATATATTTTCTTATTTCAAATAATTCAGAGTATTTAGACAATTATGAATTCTATTTACAGGTCATTACAGAATAAAATTCTGAATAATTTTCTGAACTCAATAAATATATTATAAAATCTGATGTCTCCAAATAATAAAAAATATATCTCACTAATTTTTAATCAATTATTGAATTCAACCTTGGAGAAAAAAAACGTCAATCCACCAAATTATCAGATTTTCAAATATTTCTCAGAGGCACATCTTCCAAGCTATTTAAAAAAAAAATTGCATTGGTATATAAATATCTCATCACTCTGAGTTCAAAACAAACTTTAAAAAGGCTTTCCTAAATTTCTATGGCAATGGTGTCATTACATATGAACCCTGCTTTCTAAGGTGGTTTTTATTTCAAATATTTAATCGTTAAATATATTTTGTTAATTTGAATATTTTAATTTGCACATCACTAAAAACTGATTTAAAGATGATATACAATCATTTCTAATTTACCTCTAGCATATCTTGAAGACTAAGTGGCATGTACTGTTGAGAGCTTGTATTGGCATCACAGCAGTCTTCCTGATGCTGAGGAATCACAGACATTTCACACTACAATAGTAATAATAATTCTCTAGTTTTATGTTATTAAATCTTTTTTCATCTGTTTGGGCAGTCTCTGATTTTCGAGTTTTATTCAAACAGAATTCCAGAAATTATTTACTGGGCTTTGAAACAAATACAAGTTGGTTGCTAGTACTGATGGTAAGATTGGATGCAATGCAATGTGTGATTTATGAAAAAGGGTTTTGCAGTTAACATTAACCTTAGCAATTAAACATGTATTAATAAAATGCTCCGCTGGGGCGCAGCTTGATACGACTGCAGAGGTTGAACCCTGAACAGTTGGGGCAAGTATGGACACAACATTCAAGCTTGATACAGCACTGAATTTGGATTGTAATTAAATATTTGACACAGCATAGGTTTCTGACACAGAATAAATGTGGTCTAAGAACTTAAAAATTTTTAATTTATCTATTCAAACCATATCATTATTATTTGCTTTTATATATAAATCAGAAATAACCAATTTAAAATGGAAAATTTTAAAGAAAAAAAGGAAAACCTTGTGTTTTCTTCAACTTTCCATCCGAATGTATTATGTTTATGGTACCTTTGTACTTATAAATTTTCTCTATCTTTTTAAACTTTCAACTTGTTCAATCTAACATTCTTCTTTTTCAGTATGTTCTTTAAATTTTTTAGGTCATATCTTTTTAACCATTATTCATTGCAATCAGAACATTTGCTTATCTATCTGCAAGTAGATCTTTTATTTTTATCTTTATGCAGGTAGATTTCTAATGCATGATAAGTAACACATTCAAACTGTAATCATGGGTCATAGTTATTATATAAATTTCAATTTAAGCCTTGAAAGGAAGTATAGAACCCTCAAATAATTTTCAAATTATTATTTTTTTATTTGTCCTAAAACATTTAAAATCATTTAATTATCATCCTTTTATGATTATTTGTTCAATTTATATTTTATTTATATTCTTTTAAAAATTTACATTATTTAAAGGAAAGTAACTTAAAACAGGATAAATCAAGGGAAGTAACCCAAAATTCATTTTAAATAAACAGAGTTTTATTACACAACGGCAGTTAGCCTGAGGTAAAAATCGTTTATTACCAGTATGTTTGACACCCAAGGTGATAAGTGAGGCCATATAATTATGCATGTTAATTGATTTACAGGTAAAATATAACTTCAGTAATGTCAGTTACACCAGATATGTTGGGCTGAAATTTTTCATTCATGAAATATTTCATACACGGGATTTTTTTGTCTTCAACGGGAGGTCGGGAGGAGACCCCTGAAAACGGTATTGTACTCCCGTCGGGAGGTTCACATGTATGAGTTACTGTACAATTTCAGAGAGATCCATACACTTGAACACAAGTTATTGTCTGGAAACTAGAAAAATGCTTGTTTTTTGGCCCCAAATTCATAAACATTTAGGGCAATTACCCCCAAACTCAAACCCAGCTTTCCCTTTGTGATATGGAACCTTGCAGTACAATTTCATAAAGATCCATACACTTACACACAAGTTATTGTCCTGAAACTAGAAAATGCTTGTTTTTTTGCCCCTTTATGGCCCCTAATTCCTCAAACTTCTAGGGAATTACCCCATAAATCAATCCCAGCCTTCCCTTTGTGGTTTGGTACCTTGCAGTACAATTTCAGAGAGATCCATACACTTGAACACAAGTTATGGTCTGGAAACTAGAAAAATGCTTATTTTTGGCCCCTTTTTGGCCCCTTATTCCTAAACGTTGTGGGCAATTACCCCCAAAATCAATTCCAGCTTTCCCTTTGTGATATGGAACCTTGTAGTACAATTTCATAAAGATCCATACACTTACACACAAGTTATTGTCATGAAACTAGAAAAATGCTTGTTTTTTGCCCCTTTTTGGCCCCTAATTCCTAAATTTGGAGGCAATTACCCCCAAAATCAATCCCAGCATTCCCTTTGTGATATGGAACCTTATGGTACAATGTCAGAGAGATCCATACACTTACACACAAGTTATTGTCATGAAACTAGAAAAATGCTTGTTTTTTTTCCCCTTTTTGGCCCCTAATTCCTAAAATTTGGAGGCAATTACCCCCAAAATTAATCCCAGCATTCCCTTTGTGATATGGAACCTTGTGGTACAATGTCAGAGAGATCCATACACTAACACACAAGTTATGTCTGGAAGTTACAAAAATGCTTATTTTTGGCCCCTTTTTGGCCCCTAATTCCTTAACTGTTGGTACCATAACCCCCAAAATCAATCCCCACCTTCCTTTTGTGGTATTGAACCTTATGGTTAAATTTCATAGAGATCCATTCACTTAAACTAAAGTTAGAGTGCGAAAACCAATGTGTCTTCGTACGACGACGCCAACGTCATACCAATATACGACCACAAAATTTTTTTTGCGGTCGTATAAAAACAAGATTGCACTTGAAATCGTGTTAAGCATAAGTCGGGGGACTCAAATTCCAATTATTGGATAACAGGAATTAGGTGTGTCAGATCCAAAAACATTCATGCCTTAAAAACAATCACTGCCAAGCTGCTTATGTAGTAGTTCTGTTCAGTAGTACTTGTGAAAAGTGTGACGAAAATTTTTAAGTTTATTCAACATATTGAAAAATTCAAAAGTATTGACCAACAGGAAGTAGGTGTCTGACAGACCCGAAAAATCATCACATTTTACAAGTCATCACTTTCAAGCTACTGACTAAATATAAATTCATTCTGTACAGTACTACCTGAGAAAAGTGTGACAGAAGTATCGAAAATCAAAATCAAAAATTGAAATATGAAAAGTAAAACACAGCTGACAGATAATTTGATTGCAAGTACATGTACAATGCAGGATCAGCTAAATGTCACGACCATTTTGTTAAAAACAGCAACATCTTTTATAAAAAAATGAATGGGGAATGTGTCCATGGGACACAGATGATGCCCCCCCCCCCCCCCCCCCCCCCCGCGCATATCATATAAAGTTATAAAGGGACATAACTGAAGAAAGGTAAAAGTGACACTACCCAAATTTGTACTGGATCTGAGTTTCGTGGTAATAAGTATTGTGTATAAGTTTCATAACATTTGGTTGAGGCAAACTTAAGTTAGAGAATGGAAAGGAAAAATTCAGCAATTATTCCATTTGTAAAGGGGCAGAACTCTAGAACAGTTAAAGTGATGCCACCAAAATTCAAACTTGATCTGTGTTTTGTGGTGATAAGCATTGTGTATAAGTTTCATAACATTTGGTTAATCACAGGCTCAACAAAAATGAGGAAAAAAATTAATAAAAATATTCCTCTCTATACTATCTTTTGATTGTAAGTAGCTTCTGTCCAAGTTTGGTAAAAATCCAGGATAGTTTATGAATCTAATAAATGTTTTTAAAACTTAAACTGCAGACTGTATGTAATGTTAACTGGAAGAAAAACTAAGTCCATTTATAAGTAAAATACGGAAAAAATGGAACAAAATTTTAACAAAATTTCCTTTTAGATACTAGCTTTTAATTATAAACAAGCTTCTGTCCAAGTTTGGTACAAATCCAGGATAGTTTAAGAAAGTTGTTAAAATTTTAAAAACTTTAACCACAGAGTGAATGTAATGTTAACTGGCAGAAAAACTAAGTCCATTTATAAGTAAAATACGGAAAAAATTCGTAAGGGTTCCGCGGAACCCAGTGTCTCGCCTACTTTTTGCTGTTAATCACAGGCTCAGCAAAAATGAGGAAAAAAATTAATAAAAATATTCCTCTCTATACTATCTTTTGATTGTAAGTAGCTTCTGTCCAAGTTTGGTAAAAATCCAGGATAGTTTATGAATCTAATAAATGTTTTAAAAACTTAAACTGCAGACTGTATGTAATGTTAACTGGAAGAAAAACTAAGTCCATTTATAAGTAAAATACGGAAAAAATGGAACAAAATTTCCTTCTAGATACTAGCTTTTGATCATAAACAAGCTTCTGTCTAAGTTTGGTACAAATCCAGGATAGTTTAAGAAAGTTGTTAAAATTTTAAAAACTTTAACCACAGAGTGAATGTAATGTTAACTGGCAGAAAAACTAAGTCCATTTATAAGTAAAATACGGAAAAAATGGAATTTTTTTTTACAAAATCTACTTCTGGATACTAGCTTTTAATCATAAACAAGCTTCTGTCCAAGTTTGGTACAAATCCAGGATAGTTTAAGAAAGTTGTTAAAATTTTAAAAACTTTAACCACAGAGTGAATGTTATGTTAACTGGCAGAAAAACTAAGTCCATTTATAAGTAAAATACGGAAAAAATGGATTTTTTTTTTTACAAAATTTACTTCTGGATACTATCTTATGATCATAAACAAGCTTCTTTCCAAGTTTGGTAGAAATCCAGGATAGTTTAAGAAAGTTATTAAAATTTTAAAAACTTTAACCACAGAGTGAATGTAATGTTTCCTGGCAGAAAAACTAAGTCCATTTATAAGTAAAATACGGAAAAAATGGAATTTTTTTTTTACAAAATTTACTTTTGAATATTATCTTATGATCATAAACAAGCTTCTGTCCAAGTTTGGTAGAAATCCAGGATAGTTTAAGAAAGTTATTAAAATTTCAAAAACTTTAACCACAGAGTGAATATTTGTGGACGCCGCCGACGACAACGACGACGACGACGGAATGTAGGATCGCTATGTCTCGCTTTTTCGACAAAAGTCGAAGGCTCGACAAAAATGTAATTTTTTTTTTACAAAATTTACTTCTGGATACTATCTTATGATCATAAACAAGCTTCTTTCCAAGTTTGGTAAAAATCCAGGATAGTTTAAGAAAGTTATTAAAATTTCAAAAACTTTAACCACAGAGTGAATGTAATGTTTCCTGGCACAAAAACTAAGTCCATTTATAAGTAAAATACGGAAAAAATGGAATTTTTTTTTACAAAATTTACTTTTGAATATTATCTTATGATCATAAACAAGCTTCTGTCCAAGTTTGGTAGAAATCCAGGATAGTTTAAGAAAGTATTTAAAATTTCAAAAACTTTAACCACAGAATGAATATTTGTGGACGCCGCCGCCGGAATGTAGGATTGTTATGTCTCACTTTTTCGACAAAAGTCGAAGGCTCGACAAAAAGGGTAATGAAATCTCCTGGATGGAGAAGTCACTTCTCTCTCTCACCAAAATCCGATATATATATCATGTATACAAGGCCCTGCAAATATTTCATGCTCATTCAGGACAATGACAAGTCAAGTTATCATTTAAACTCTGTAACATACTAGACTGACACAAATGAAACAAAATATTATAAATTCACATAGAAATGAATGGAAGGTTGTGGAAGCTAGTATTCCTGTGTTTTGAACAAACTGTCCATAGATATTTGTTTCTTTTTGGGGAATAATGTAAAACAATTACCATATGCATCAATAGATACTTCATTACTGGGTGTGCCTTAATAATATTTATTATAACTAACCTTGTAGTGATTTCTTTTGTGGTTCAGTTTAGATGGAGAACTTTCAGACAAACATGTTTGGCATGAGTCTAACCTGTCATTGGAACCACATACACTATCACCTCCTGTAAAAAAAAAATCTTATGTTAATTCATTTTATTTTAGCACATCTTGTAAACAATAAAAGAACAGAGTTCCAATGTACCCCGTGTTGCACATATTTTATCTATCCAAGGTGCAAGGGCAATAACTAAAAAAAGCACTTTTTTTGTTCTTTAAAACTATTTATTAATATCTTAGAGAAATGAAGGCTTCAGAGCAAATGCAATGTGATTTTCATTATAATTAATATTTCCAAGGGGAATAACTCTTTAAAAATATTTGATCAGCACTTAGTTTTCGAAGTGTCAAAGACATTGCTGATATAAACCTATGATATGAGTTTCATAAAATTCTGGTAATAATTGTACACATGAGAAAGCTGACAATGTAACTTTCCATAAAATCAATATTTCCAAGGGGGCTAACTTTTTTAAAAATAATTGATCGGCACTGATTTTTGAACTCGTAAAAGACATTGATGATATAAACCTATAATATAAATTTCATAAAAATCTGGCAAGAATTGTACACATTAGAGCTCTCATAAGGCAATTATCCATATAATTAATATTTCCAAGGGGCATAATTCTTTTAGAAATTATTGATCGTCACTGATTTTCGAACTTGTCAACTACATTGCTAATATTAACCTATGATTTAAGTTTCATAAAATTCTGGCAAGAATTGTACACATGAGAGCGCTAACAATGCAATTTTATATTTATTTAATGTTTTCAAGGGACATAACTCTTAAAAATAATTGAATGGCACTGATTTTCGAACTTGTCAAAGACATTGTTGATATAAACCTATGATATAAGTTTCATAAAAATCTGGCAAGAATTGAACACATGAGAGCGCTAACTATGCAATTTTCCATATAATTAATGTTTCCAAGGGCCATTACTCTTTTAAAAATAATTGATCTGCACTGATTTTCGAACTTGTCCAAGACATTCAGGACGGACGGAAGGTATTTCTATGTCCCCTGCAACGTGTTGCGAGGGGGACAATAATATCCATCATTTACCCAATATTTGTAAATCCAAACTGCTATTTCATTAGCCCTTAAATGATGATTTTCACCATATTTTAGCATTTTGCCTTTTATCTTGAAAACTATATTAGAACCAACTGGTCATGCATATGTTATATCTGACAAAATTATTTTTCTGATTCTGTGAGTACTTAAAGAGTTTTATCAAAATTCTCCCAACGTACTGCACTTGTATATTTTATAATCAAATTCAAATCATTTAAATTGTAAAGGCATCTAATCCACATAACAAAAGAAGGCAATGAATAAAGACAACAATTAATTAAGAAATAGTTTCTTTTATTAAGTAAAAAAACTAAATGTTCTTGTCTGCAAGATTGTAATTGAGTAACTTCCTGGACTATTTCCTGTCAAAAAAGCATTGAAAATATCCGAATGTGCATGGTTTTGACAAAAGTTTCCGGAATATTCATATCCTATATTGCTAATATATTCTTATATCTTGTATCCGATATTCTATTACACGATAAAATTTACATTAAATATTTAGGAAAAAGTTTGGTGTTTTGAAATAATATTACAATAACGATATATTCCTTTTGCCGACATCCCATTTAGTGGGGTCTACTGTATATTTATTTTAATATATATTAACACACATACAAGTATCTGTGGTAGCCTTATTGAACGATTATTGCTTACCATCTTGACTACCACATATGTTATCCAGACAGGAGATGTCTGAATCATTAGAACTTGGCACACTACAGTTGTCACAACCATCAGCACCTGATGAATAACCACAATCACTTCCTCCTTTCTTTTCTCCTGATTGATTACTCCGACAACTTTCCATTGAAGCCAAGGTAGTATTGGAATTGTGGTCACCATAGATACTACATTTGTCTTTACAAGACTTGTGAGAAGACTTATCTTTACTTCTCTCCTTATCACACTGTGCAAAATAATATAAAAAGTAATAAAATAAACATTAACAGTACAGCAGAGAACATTATCAACTTCTATCTCAAATGTTGCATTAAATAAGTGTATCAAGCTTTGAGTCAGGCAAAATTTCATTAGCAACTTGTCTGCTCTAGTGTAAAATGGGTGTCATGGTTATGATTTTGAAGGACAGGCCACAAATCTTCATATTATATATTATAAGATATTACTGTTTCAATGTTAAACATCAATAACAAGATTGCTAGAGTAGCCACTTTACTGGAATTGTCCTTATCACTTACTGTGGATTCATTTATATTGATTTGGTAGAATGAAGAAAAGTTGTAGTTTCGTGGATATTTCATTTCGTGGTTTTGCCAAAAATCTGATAACAAATTTGTATTTTGTCAAACATTTAAATTTGTGGTTTACATATACCCACAAAATCCACAAAAATTGATATCCCACGAATAAAAATGAACTCACATATATTATTCTTTGAAAATAAATTGTTAAGTTGTTTATTACTGCATAAATCTTTAATGATAATGATGTTGATGTGAACACAAGCTGCATCTCTGGACATAACAATCCAATTGTACTTGTTCTGCTTTTTATTTATGTCATATTATATTATTATTGTGCAATGTTTCATGTTTGTTGTTTATATTGTGTATTTATCTGATTATAATTGTTGCTTGTAAATGTCTCTTGTGGGACCTGGATTGGAATAATAAAATATTTGAATATTTGAATTTGTATATTTCCAAGGTGAGAATAATAAATGAACACTGATTTTCCAATTCATCAAAGGTATTACTGATCATGCTGATATATTAACATAAATTTGTTTTTACTTGAAGGAGAATGTAGATGTGAGAGGGGTGACAATATAGATGTTCCAAAAAAATATACATTTCCAAGGAGCATAACTCCCCCAAAAATTTTCAAACCTCACCAACTTTCCAACTTATCTTGAGATATTGCTGATGTTAACTTTTGACATAAACTTTATCAAACTTCAATAAGAAATAAAGGCATTAGAGCATTTACAAAATTTATTTTTCCAAAGTCTCATAAAAACAGTCAGTTTTCAAATTCTTTGCAGATTGCAGATATTACTTATGAAAACCTTGGACATCCAACTTCCATTAATAAAATTTAATGAGAAATGTTGGCAGGAGAGCCCTAACAATATTGATTTTCCATAGATAATTAAATTTCCTACAAAAGTTCAATCAGCACTGATTTTGGATCTCATTAGTGTTATTATAGATGTAGACCTTTAGACATAGATTTCACCAAGCTAAAATGATGAGTAAAGGCCTGAGAGCCCCTGCAACATTAAATTCTTCGTATTACTAACATTTTTAAAGGTCAAATATCCGGCAAAATGATTGACCAGCCCAGATTTTCATCAGAGATATTTCTGATGTTAAACTTTGAAATAAAATTCAAGAACTGTAGTTATTAGAGAACTTACAATGTTTGACAAACAGATGGACAGAGGGATTGACAATATAGTTTCTAAATCCTTGCTCCATTTAATGGTGGGGGGAATACAAATGTTCTTATAAAATGAACTGTATATAGGAACACTATGAATGATGGCAATACCTTATTCACTATCTACATAATCATATTTAAACACTATGAATGATGGCAATACCTTATTCACTATCTACATAATCATATTTAAACACTATGAATGATGGTCATACCTTATTCACTATCTACATAATCATATTTAAACACTATGAATGATGGCAATACCTTATTCACTATCTACTTAATCATATTTAAACACTAGGAATGATGGCAATACCTTATTCACTATCTACATAATCATATTTAAACACTATGAATGATGGCAATACCTTATTCACTATCTACTTAATCATATTTAAACACTATGAATGATGGCAATACCTTATTCACTATCTACTTAATCATATTTAAACACTATGAATGATGGCAATACCTTATTCACTATCTACTTAATCATATTTAAACACTATGAATGATGGCAATACCTTATTCACTATCTACTTAATCATATTTAAACACTATGAATGATGGCAATACCTTATTCACTATCTACTTAATCATATTTAAACACTATGAATGATGGCAATACCTTATTCACTATCTACATAATCATATTTAAACACTATGAATGATGGCAATACCTTATTCACTATCTACATAATCATATTTAAACACTATGAATGATGGCAATACCTTATTCACTATCTACATAATCATATTTAAACACTATGAATGATGGCAATACCTTATTCACTATCTACTTAATCATATTTAAACACTATGAATGATGGCAATACCTTATTCAGTATCTACATAATCATATTTAAACACTATGAATGATGGCAATACCTTATTCAGTATCTACTTAATCATATTTAAACACTAGGAATGATTACCATACCTATTTCACTATCAACTTAATCATATTTAAACACAAGGAATGACGACCATACCTTATTCAGTATCTACTTAAATCATATTTAAACACAAGGAATGACGACCATACCTTATGAAGTATCTACTTAATTTATATTTAAATACAAGGACTTATGCTGTATCTACTTACTTCACATTTAGAGTTATCATTGTCAATCTCAACTGCAATGTTTTCCTTTTCAGCAATCTGAGATGACTTGGCTTTCTTCTTTTTTCTCTTTTGTCTTTTCTGTTCCCGTCTTTGTTCCTTAGCTCTTTCCTCTTCCAACAATTCCTCATACATCAATTCTAAGTTTGACACACCTTGCTTTTTCTCTAATGCCACCTGTTCAATAATAATTGATAAATTGAACTTATCACAAACTTTAACATGTAAACTAAGCAAAAGTTTTTAAGTTGATCATGACTGAGGGGCAGGGCCAAATAATAATATGGAAATGAGATGTGCCAGTTCTCAACTGCATACCAAATATCACTGACCTACCACTAGTGGATCCTTTTAAACTGAGACATTGTTGACACTGCTGCGGCTGGATACATTACGCCCGAGTTACATTTTTTTCAATTTCATTTAGGCGAAACAAAAACATGTTAATTTGACCCATGTATATTTCCCTGCATTTGTCAGAGTTTTGTCTGTTTAAAATGTTTCAGTCAGTATATGTGTAAGCAACAAGTAAACATTTAGTATGTGAACACTTTTCACCCTAAAGGTTAAATAAAATAAAACATAATCAGTCTGATGATAAACCAACATTTTAGCTGCCAATCATGGTGACCAGAATGAGCAGAACAAGTGAAACTGCGAGCTACTGCTCACTGATGATACCCCAGGCCAAATATTTCGGTAAACAGAAAGTTGTTGAGTGATGAATCTGAAAACACATCAGACGGTATAGCTGACTAATATAAACCCTGAAACCAAATTTCAGAAATCCTTATGATGTAGTTCCTGAGAAAGATGTGACAAAAAATATTTATGGGACGGATGGACGGACTGACGGATGGACAGACAGACAAAGGTAAAACAGTATACCCCCACTTTTTTAAAGCGGGGGTATAATGATTACAATCATAATTCTAAAACATAATATACAAAATGAAATGAAAATAAATTAAACAAAATATACATGGTTTATATTTAATAGATTTATATTTAATATTAAAATAAATAAAACAAGTGAAACTGTGACCTACTGCTCACTGATCATGCTAATGATACCCCGCCCAAATATTTCTGTAAACAGGAAGTTGTTGAGTGATGAATCTGAAAACGCATCAGACGGTATAGCTGACTTATATAAACCCTGGAACCAAATTTCAGAAATCCTAATGATGTAGTTCCTGAGAAAGATGTGACAAAAAATATTCATGGGACGGATGGACGGACTGACGGATGGACGGACAGACAAAGGTAAAACAGTATACCCCCACTTTTTTAAAGCGGGGGTATAATGATTACAATCATAATTCTAAAACATAATATACAAAATGAAATGAAAATAAATTAAACAAAATATACATGGTTTATATTTAATAGATTTATATTTAATATTAAAATAAATAAAACAAGTGAAACTGTGACCTACTGCTCACTGATCATGCTAATGATACCCCGCCCAAATATTTCTGTAAACAGGAAGTTGTTGAGTGATGAAAATGAAAACGCATCAGACGGTATAGCTGACTTATATAAACCCTGGAACCAAATTTCAGGAATCATTGTATTGTAGTTCATGAGAAAAATGTGACGAAAATTTTCAACTTGGCTACTTGTGTGTAAAATGATGTAAGTGTTTGGTAAATAGGAAGTTGTTGAGTGATGAATCTGAAAACGCATCACATGGTATAGCTGACTTATATAAACCCTGTACCAAATTTCAGAAATCCTTGTATTGAAGTTCCTGAGAAAGATGTGACGAAAATTATTCATGGGACGGATGGACGTACTGATGGATGGACAGACAGAGGTAAAACAGTATACCCCCACTTTTTAAAAGCGGGGGTATAATAAGTACTTGGCAATTATAAATCAAAGTGATCTGAAATCACTGATGGAAAGATTGGAAGAATTGTATGTATAATTTCAATCATATTCTATTTTTCCATAGCAGTGGTGGTGGACAAGAAAAAGTTTCTATAGCACTATTGCATATTTGTAAGTTACATTACTGCAGATTTTTTTAGAAAGATAAGCAACTTGACAGTGCATAAAATAGCTTAATAGAGGTCAATGTCGGTTGGTCACTAATTTGCCTAATAACTTCTTTTAAATTGCAACTTAATATTTATATTTTTTGAAACAGACGAAATTAACTATTAAATTATTGTAGTTTCTCAGTAAACCTGGGACCATTGGATAAAGAGACTTAAAACCAAGTCCTTTTTTTATCTCCTAAAATTTACATTTATCTTATTTTTTGTTTAATGCAGTGTAAATATAAGTTATATATAGGTAAATGATTAAAATCTTTCATCTATATTCAATTTTATTAAAGAAATGCACATTTAATATGTATGTTAACCATCGATTACACATGAAGACAGAGACCACCCAATGACACTGACCTATATATATCAAACATCTATCTGATACTAATGAGGTCAAGTTATTGTGTATTGAGTGGTCTCTCATGTTATGTATAAACTCAATAGTTATGTAATTTGGTCAATTATGATTGGCATTAAAGAGGAGGGGGTCTATCTAAAATTCCAATTATTCCCCCACCCTTTATGTCTTATTGTTCTTTGATCATAACAGTTGTCAATCAATACTCTTACTTAATTAAAAAGACAAAACTGGACAGTAAATTGAACTAGAGGCTCTCAAGAGCCTGTGTCGCTCACCTGTATTTACTGATGCTTTGGAAATCATGTAAAATAAGGTTAAAATCATAATTAATAGTATTAGATATTAGATATTATAATGATATCTAAGATAATAACAAACTAGAACTAGAGAGCCTGTGTCACTCACCTGATTCTACTTTGGTTTTGGAAATCATGTAAAAATAGATTAAAATCATAACAGATACCCTAATAATGAGTGAGGCCAAATTTGGTTTAATATTGGTCCTGTAATTTAATAAAAAATCCTGGTGGCCATCTTGAACAGTAAATCGGCAAAAAAGTAGCAACACTTCATCAGCACCTCATAAGAAACATTTATGCCATGTTTTGGTTTCATTCCATTCAGTGCACCTCTAGAAGAAGCATTTGTATGTATTTCCCATAGGGTCTTATGTTAAAGGAAGTCCCCCTATTGGCGGCCATCATGGATGAAGGATCAGCTTCAAAGTAACAAAACTTAGTCAGCACCTCATAAAGAACATTCATGCCATGTTTGGTTTCAATCCATTCAGTATGTGGTTCTCTAAAAGAAGATATTTGTATGTATTGTCCATAGGGTCCTTTGTTAAACATTGTCCCCATCTGGCGGCCATCATGGATGAAGGATCAGCTTCAAAGTAACAACACTTGGTCAGCACCTCAAAAGGAACATGCATGCCATGTTTGGTTTCATTCCATTCAATGGTTCTCTAAAAGAAAACATTTGTATGTATTTCTCATAGGGTCCTATGTTAAACTAAGTCCTCCGCTGGCGGCCATCTTAGATTATGGATCAGCTTCAAAGTAACAACACTTGGTCAGCACCTCATAAGGAACATTCATGCCATGTTTGGTTTCATTCCATTCAGTGGTTCTCTAAAAGAAGACGTTTGTATGTATTTCCCATAGGGTCCCATGTTAAACTAAGTCCCCCGCTGGCGGCCATCTTGGATTATGGATCGGCTTCAAAGTAACAACACTCGGTCAGCACCTCATAAGGAACATTCATGCCATGTTTGGTTTCATTCCGTTCGGTGGTTCTCTAAAAGAAAACATTTGTATGTATTTCTCATAGGGTCCCATGTTAAACTAAGTCCCCTGCTGGCAGCCATCTTGGATTATGGATTAGCTTCAAAGTAACAACACTCGGTCAGCACCTCATAAGAAACATTCATGCCATGTTTGGTTTCATTCCATTCAGTGGTTCTCTAAAAGAAGACATTTGTATGTATTTCCCATAGGGTCCAATGTTAAACTAAGTCCCCTGCTGGCGGCCATCTTGGATTATGGATCGGCTTCATAGTAACAACACTTGGTCAGCACCTCATAAGGAACATTCATGCCATGTTTGGTTTCATTCCATTCAGTGGTTCTCTAAAAAAAGACATTTGTATGTATTTTCCATAGGGTCCTATGTTAAACTAAGTCCCCCACTGGCGGCCATCTTGGATAATGGAGCAGCTTCAAATTACCAACACTCGGTCAGCACCTCATAAGGAACATTCATGCCATGTTTGGTTTCATTCCATTCAGTGGTTCTCTAAAAGAAGACATTTGTATGTATGCCAAGTGATGAGAAAAGCTGACTTGGCCCTTCGGGCCAGGTGAGCTAAAAAATGCAAAATTTCTGTAATATTACTAACTCAGGGCAGCAACCCAACAACGGGTTGTCGGATTCGTCTGAAAATTTCAAGGCAGATAAATCTCAATCTGATGAACATTTATGTCACCTGTAAGATTTGCTCTAAATGCTTTAGTTTCAGAGATATAAACCAAAAACTGCATTTTACCCCTATGTTCTATTTTTAACCAAGTCTGCCATGATGGTTGGAAGGCGGGGTCATCGGACAAATTTTTTAAACTAGATACCCTAATAATGATTATGGCCAAGTATGGTTAAATTTGTCTCAGTAGTTTCGGAGAAGAAGATTTTTGTAAAAGATAACAAAAATTTACGAAAAATTGTTAAATAAACTGCTTCGCTGAGCGCAGCTAGATACGCCCGCAGAGGTCCAACCCTGAACAGTTGGGACAAAAATGGACACAATATTCAAGCTTGATTCAGGTCCGAATTTGGATTGTAATTAAATATTTGACATATTATAGGTTTCTGAATAAATGCGGTCAAAGATCTTGAAATTGGTTATATGAATTGAATTTATATTCAATTAAAGATTTCTTGCTGTTGTGCAATACTTAGTAAATCTGTTGTCAGATTATAAACAAATAAAGTTCAATTAATTCTCAATGTCATATAAGAAATTTATGAAAATAACTAGAGGCTCTAAAGAGCCTGTGTTGCTCACCTTGGTCTATGTGAATATTAAACAAAGGACGCAGATGGATTCATGACAAAATTGTGTTTTGGTGATGGTGATGTGTTTGTACATCTTAATTTACTGAACATTTTTCCTGCTTACAATTATCTCTATCTATAATTAACTTGGCCCAGTAGTTTCAGAGGAGAAGATTTTTGTAAAAGATTACTAAGATTTA